GCCTGTGATACAATGCAGGTAACAAATTAAAATGTAGGCACAGATACTAGCCTCGTTTGTCAAAACACCCATTATATATTCAAGATTATATTATGGGTGTATCGACAGACAAGACTCGTCTGTCAATACACCCATAATATAATATTGAATATATTGTGGGTGTTTTGACAGACGAGGCTAGTACCTGTGATGTGCGTTCGCATGTGCAAGACGAAAGAGCTCTTCTCCGTAGCTGAAGAAAACAAATCCGATTTTTCATTTTATTCAGCTTTTCACTTTGCTAAGTTTCTAAAATGAATAGGTTCAAATTAGATATTTTTCATTATAACATGTAAAAAAAAAAAAATCTTGAAAACGGACCTTATCTCAGACTTTTTTTGGCCCTGACCCAAACAATTCGTATTTCGCGCCATCTTGCATTTCGACTACCGTTTTCAAGTAAACACATTTTTCAACAAACCTGACGAGCTTAAAAGTAGGTTCCCTGCTGTTTTCCAACCACATACCTTATAGTCAATCGTGAGTCAGTGCTCTGTATATGTATGGGTATGTATGAGTAAGGCTATCCTTGTGTTGTTTAAATACCGGTTGTCCTCTGAGGAGCCCAGGGACCGAAGATTGACATGCTTATGTTTCTAACATCTTAACTTGTGTATCCTGTGTACACACCTCCCTATTCAGAGCATTGTGCAATAGAAAGCTCGTCAGTACAAGCATATACATGATTAAAAGCACGTAGAGTCAATCCCATGTCCTGTCAAGAATGTATGTTCAAGTACGACAACCATTTTTCGGCCGATCAATAGCCATCACATTCATACTGCAGCTATATGCTAGTCCCACAAAAGCATGTAGTACATCAGTAGATGAAAAACCATCATGTCAGGCTTTGCAAGATCAGTACCTAGTCCTTGATTACTCCTATGTCACCAGAAGGAACACCAATTCCTTTGACTCAAACATCAAAGTTACTGGAGAAAATGTTAATGATCTACCATCAACAGTAATTGGCATACTGTTAACATTATTGCCCTTACCAAACGAGCATACCCAGTCATACCTTGTCGAACAAGAAAAGTGTAGATTCATCAACATGTGCTCTATTGCAACTATGTGGCGCAAAAGAAAATCACCATTACAATCACGTAAATGGCTACTTTACCTACTTATCAGTATCATAACGCAATCCAATGATATTGAACAAAATCCAGGCCCAAGCAATGACACCACAAAATATCTGTGTGGCACATGTGATCACACAGTAACTTGGGAACACAAGGGGATAGTCTGCGAGTCTTGTGACCAATGGTTCCACAGTAATTGCCAAAACGTTGGAATCAAATCATATGAAGAATTAAATGACTCGATGGTAAGCTGGCACTGCCTAATATGTGACCGTCCAAATTACAGTCAAGTGGTATTCAACCCTCACGTGACAAGCACCACGAATTCCTTTCATGTGCTGTCCAATACAAGTGAAACATTCCAAAGCCTACAAAGCCCAAACCTCGAACAATCTAGTCGTGGCTTTAACCCTGTCCATTGTTCAACCCCAATAAGGAAAGCTATATATGCTTCCAAAGTACAAAAACCACTTCGGGTGCTGAACATAAACTTCCAGTCCCTTAGATCAAAACAACACCTCCTTGGTAACGTTATAGACAGTACAGATCCTGACATAATAATTGGTACAGAAACCTGGTTGTCACCTAACATCAAGGATAACGAGGTTTTCCCTGACTCTTTCAAACTATTTCGAAAAGATAGAGTCGGTAGAGAAGGAGGTGGGGTGTTAATTGCCATAAAAAACACCCTTATAAGCCAAGAAGTACCTGAGCTCACTGTCTCTGACAAATGTGAGCTAGTTTGGACCAAGGTAGACATTATTGGCTGCAGATCACTATACATATCTGCCTTAAAACCCTAAAACAAACGATGTGGAAAGTGCTAATGGTTTTGACTCCTCTGTTAAAAGAGCAGCCAGTATAAAAGATGCAGCTCTACTCATCGGTGGTGACTTTAACCTACCCGGTTGGGAGTGGCAATCCAGACCTCTCTAAAACCAGGCACCTTACATCAAAATATACACAAATTATTTGGAAACACTTTTGATGACACTGGCTTGACATAAATGATCTCAGAACCAACCAGGAAAAACAATACTTTAGACCTGATTTTGACAAATTTTCCCACTTTAATACCTTGAACGAAAGTCATGCCAGGCGTTTCGGACCATGATATAGTGTTTGTGGAATTTAATATTGCCCCCAAAAAGCTAAAACAAAAACCTAGAGATATCCCACTATCCAAAAAGGCAAACTGGGATAATATCAAAACTGAACTCAACTCCTTTGGAGACGAACTCAGACTTGACCATAAATCAGACGCAAACGAACTATGGGAAAAGTTCAGGGTCAAGTTACACGCTCCTATAAAGGCCCATATCCCCCCCAAAAAGGGCAAAAATAAAATAAAATAAACATTGGGTTAAACAAGAAACCAGACAACTCATCAGAAAGCGAGACAAGCTTTACAAAAAGGTGAAAAAGTCAAAAGACCCTCAACTCTCCTCTAAGTACAAAGACATCAAACGATTAGTACAACAACAACTGCGCCAGTCATATTGGAAATATATAGAGGGCATTGTAACACCTGATACTGGTAATCCAAATAATGTCAGCAAGAAATGTTGGACGTATATTAAACACCGGAAGACGGAAGGCACTAATATCAGCCAATTAAAGCACGATGGGAAACTTCTATCAGACCCCATTGATAAAGCAAATGCTCTAAACAAGCAGTTCCATTCGGTATTCTCCCCTACAACTGAAATTTCTATTGCAGAATTCCATCAGACTCTCTATGTAGATGACAACACTTATCCATCAATTGCTGACCTAAATATTTCAAACAAAGGAGTTCTGAAACTACTGCTAAATCTGAAACCAGAAAAAGCTGCTGGCCCTGATAACTTAAAACCAAGACTACTTAAGGAACTTGCAAATGAAATAGCCCCCATTCTGACACCGATTATTACCAAATCATACAATACTGACATTGTACCAAATGACTGGAAGACTGCTCATGTAGCCCCCTTATACAAAAAAGGACAACGCTATACTCCTGAAAACTACCGTCCCATATCATTGATATCTGTGTGTTGCAAGCTTTTTGAACACATTATAGTAAGCCACATCATGACCCATTCAGATAATCACGACATACTCTACCCTTTGCAACATGGTTTTCGAAAATTCAGATCCTGCGCGACCCAATTATTGGAATTTGTTGAAGATATTAATCAAAATTTAGAAGCTGGCAAACAAACCGACGTATTAGTATTAGATTTTTCGAAGGCATTTGACAAAGTCAGCCACTCACTTCTTATTCATAAATTAGAACATTACGGAGTAAGAGGGAAAACAAATTGCTGGATAAAAAACTTCCTACTTGGCCGCAAACAAGCTGTCCATTGTGAAGGGGAAATTTCATCATATATGTCTGTAGAATCTGGGGTACCACATGGGTCAGTTCTGGGACCAAGTCTCTTCCTGCACTACATAAACGACCTAGCATCACGCCTACAATCCACTGTAAGATTACATGCGGACGACACGATAGCTTATCTGACCATAGCATGTGATCAGGATGCTAAATGTCTCCAATCTGACCTGGACAAATTAGCCGTATGGGCAAAAAACTGGACTATGTCCGTCCACCCGGACAAGTGTAGCGTACTTTCTATAACACGTAGTCGTTCTCCCAAAATGTTTGATTATACCCTTTACGGACAAACCTTCAAACATGTAAATACTGCTAAATATTTGGGCATTACGTTCAGTTCAGACATGCGTTAGGAGAAACATATGACCAACATTTGTGACAAAGCCAACAACACTTTAAGCTTTTTAAGACGAAACCTCAAAATCAGCTCCAAAGGAATTAAAGAACAGGCATACAGATCTTTAGTTAGGCCATCAGTTGAATATGCCAGTACTGTATGGGACCCATATTTAGAACAAGACATCAACAAAATTGAAATGGTCCAGCGGAGAGGAGCAAGATTTACCTTAAATCGCCATGGCAACAGTGTAGGAGATATGTTAGATACTTTAAATTTGCCACCTTTAGAAACAAGAAGACAAAATGCCCGCCTAGCCATGCTTTACAAAATTAAAAACAACCCGGATGCAATTGACTCTACAAACAAACTACTCCCAGCTACACGTCTATCTAGAAACCAACATGAACAATGCTTCTCCATACCTCACTGCAGAACCCAGTATAAGAAAATGTCCTTTTATCCACGCACTATAGTTGATTGGAACAGCCTCCCGCCAGATATCGCCTACAAAAAAATCACTAGTGGCCTTCAAATCTGCCATCCTAAACTTTAAAAAACCGTAAAGTAATGTGTGTTTTTATCCTTATCTATTTTTATTAGGTGATTATTTCTAAATTAGAAAAATCATTAGCAGTACATCAGTACACTCCTGTACGGGAAGGGTTCAGAAAGGTGGCCAGTGTTGATATGACCAACACCGATTAAGAACCCTTCCCCAATACAGAGCAGTTGTAATCTTTGTTAATTTGGCAATTTATTTTTGGTTCCATGTACAAAAGCACAGTTCTGTACAGTAAAAGTTCCTAAAGTTGGCCAGTGTTGATATGACCAACACCGAGTAAGAACTCTTCCTAATACAGAGTAGCTGGTTCTAAAAAACAAACAAACAAAACACTAAATAATCAACCTTCAAATTTCCTTATTATATTAACTATTAGTAGTATTCTTCCTCATACTTATAATTATTATTATTATTATTTTTGTTTTTAAACATTTTTAATTGTACTATTGCGCACGCACAAACCAGTGTCATTATATTCGGCAAGACGAATGAGGACACTTACATGGCAGAAGCAGAAGAAGGGGCATGCTTTAGAATGCTATAAAAAGCAATATCTACCAAGAGTTGTCGTTCCTTTACACCACCGCAAGATTTCGAGTTATCGAACTTGACCTTTATTTACTTCCGTTCAAGATAGCCGGCTCATAAACACATGACAAATGCAGAACGAAGTCAATTTATCATACCGCTGGTATGTATCACTGCTATATAACCTTACATAAACAAAGATCATTCAAATAGTTTTTCAAAGCAAGGACTACGATGCAATTTAAGGGAAAAGATCATGGAACTTGACACGTCACTGCTGTCACTGAGCACTTAAAACATTTCTCAAATGACGCGTGTTTCTTACTAGAGTGAACCTCGTGTGGTTATTTTTGTGTCTGTGTTTGGAATCCCTAGCTGCTAAATTCTAAGAATAAGGATAAAAATATCGGCATAGTGCAAAATCTCGAATAGGTATGTGGGCGTTGCCCCCACCTAAATACTTCAATTTACTTGGAAAGTTAAACTTGGTAATGTATAAAAAGTGTATCTCTCTTGTAAAAGGCATACTAGGCTATGAAGAACCCACTACTAGTAGTAGAAGTAGTAGTAGTAGTGGTAACTCCCTCCTCTTGTAGGAGAACCAGCTCTTAAGGCTGTATGTTGATTCTGAAGCCAGATACATTAAATACTTGAATGGCGGTTAGAAGCTGTATAGCTGGAGTGGGAGACATATGTAATGGATATAAGTCTGTATTGCAGTGTTTACTGAGTAGTCTATTTGAAAGTAGAGCTTAATCAAGGACTATAATGTGAAGAGAGAGAGACAGTTTAAACGACCTATATCCCACTGAGTTACCCGTTACATGTCTGAAAATATATTTAGGGGTACTGTATGTAGGCAATACTATTTCTTTTTCATTGTTTATAAGGGTTATCTATATGGGAGTATAATCTTGACTTTTCTTTGAAAATTGCCAAAAGTTTACTAAAGATAAAATTACATATACATTTTTATTTACCGCAACAAAAAGATAAATCTAAGAAATATGTATATTTATCTCAAATATTCATATTTTATTTATACGTTTATTGATATTCATTTTTACATTGTAGAGAACTAACTAGAAAAAATACTACCATTGTTGAAAAGAAAAAGTCATAAAGAAGACAGCTCTTGCAGTTTCAAGTCAAGAAGTTCAGGGAACAAATATAAACTCTCAAACTAGCCATGTTTGACTGGAGAGAATGGTTGGAGTATATCTTAAGATGGGCAGCTACTAGTCCATGGGAATTTGTGTTCACAATCCTCCTTTGTTTGTCACCGTTCTTCTTCATCAGTGCAATTCTGGCATGGAAACTTGCACAGGAGATTGAGGCAAAAGAAAAAGAGAAGAAAAAGAAAGCAAAACGAGAAGCAGCTATTAAGAAAAAACAGCAAAAAGCAGACTGATTAAATATGAATAACTATGCAACTTATTGCATCAACATGGAATGACTTTTCGATATTTCCACTTAATGTTAATTTTAATTGTTTCTCATTCCTGAGTATATGTGAATTGAAGAATTTCAGGATTTTTGAATGGAACAATGTCAGAGTGCTTGGAATGAAAGATACATTATGACAACATGAAGAGTTTTCCTGTGAGAATTTCTTGTATGTGAATGTTTTAATGATAGTTTGAAAGTTAATTATAAGAATAATATATTCTGCTCTTTTGTATGTAAAATTTTATTACATATTTATCCATTAAGCATGTTTGTCTCGAAAGAATATTTGATGTCAAAATGAATAGTTCTCAATAAATAGAGACATTACTGTGCACAATCTAAATGTCATATACAGATGTATGTATTATACATGTAATTACATGCGAGTCATTATATTTGTCAGTCTTTGGTCTTTTTGTAGCCACATGTATATTATTTAGTAATATTAACTTATTAAGCCTATTATAAAATATAGAAGTAACCAATGAGGATAAGATATCGATTGTAGTACGATATACTATTTAAACTGGATTCTGTGAAGTCTAGATTTTTATCTAAACTGAATAAAAAAAGAATCAGATTGTAACATTGACAATGCCTAGCAACTAGCCTCTACAATCCAGATAACAGTCACATTAATTGTGCAAACACGTACGGAGCAGTGTGCAGCTGGCGACCACAGAACGGTCAAGGGGAGACAACTCATTACATTCACCAAACCTTTTTAATTTCTCCGAAATAATTCTTTTGGAATATCATAAATCATAAAACAAGTTTTACTATTTAATGCAAACTGAATGATAGGGCCATGAACAGACACCAGTCTGCACGAGAACAGTATTAAATTCAGGATGTAAAATGGTAATATGGATTTCCAAGCCAAGGTTTACCGAGGGATGCACAGTATAGCTCTGCTAAGCTCAGCAGTGAACCATGATCCAATGTAGTGTCGCCTCTTACTCAGTTCCCCTCTAGGCTCAATAGGTGCTCAGCCTATATGTAACAACACACAATTTATAATGGATATCAGTCAACCTCTGTTTCTACCTTACACAGATTATTGTATTTGTATTACTAGGTATGTGTATCTATACATTCAGGTTTACTGTACTTACTAAGACACTAATGGTAATTGTTACTTTGATATTTAAACTCCATTTAAAAGTTCTGAAAGATATTATTCAGCTTAAAAAAACACGCCAATATAATGTACTTTATGACACAATTTATTCATTCATAGTTATCATATAAACATATTCACCATCCCAACATTACCAGATTGGCACAAAAATGATCGTATACAATCAAAATGTTAATACCACATGTTCATTACATGTTGATAATATAGCGGGAACAGTATTTCACTGCACTGTATTAAAATGACTCCATTAATATCTTAGCACACCAATTAACAGAATTCCTTCATCTGGCATCTTAACTTTGACCCACTGTACAAACTATGTGTACATTTGTATTTTATGTATTATTGATATACTAGGTTAAGGAATTATTTAACCTATGCCTCAGATTTTTATAAGAATTTCTTTCTCAAAAGTAACTTAAAATTACATGGTCTAAAGAAAATGATGTTGTTGTTTGAAGTGTAACAATAAAATCTGAAATATAACATTTCCAGAACAATGGAGTTTACAAATAGTGCATCATCAGTCTTTACTTCAGAATAACAGCGTATGTACAATTTCTTTCAAAAAAACAAACTGGCCATTACAGTTGATGTCACGACACTGTTCTGTCTATGGGTGCTTCTTTATCTTTATAGTCCAACTTTCTAGTAGATCCTGATTTTAATTCCATATCTTCAAAATCGGGATGTGGTTCTGAAAATAGAAACCAAACTTTCATATAATCAAAGACAATAGTTATACAAAGCTGAGTGCACATTATTGTGTTATGTTTAGATTTTTCACACTTTGTTACACTAAAAGTATGTAAGGAATACTTTTCTATTTTGGTCAGGTTTTGAGGTGATAAAACCAGTTGAGCACAAGGAAAATGAACACCGTAAGATGTTGAAGGAGAGTGTAAACATGCATTATAAGTACCACATAATATGAAGGAGAGAGTGTAGACATGCATTATAAGTACCACATAATACATCTAATATAAGGGAGAATGAGATCCAACGTCCACTAATGGATTCAGTGAAGTTCTGTGTTCCCCAGTTGATGGATTCCGAAATGGAATTCACGGCCATATAAGAGTAATTGCTCTTCAAGTTGATCTTAAAACCTGAAAAACAATCCCAAGCAAGTTGATGGCTAGGTCTTGTTTGTTTAAGCTTTATTGTCTACAGGGCACTAAAAGCAGTGTTCAGGAACTTTTTTTATTTACTGGAGTAGTGATGTTGAGTTGACATTTTACCTGTGAAAGACAGCTCAAATTATTGTGGTGAAATGAAAATGCAGGTGGAAAGTAGGATAGACAGATGAAGTTCACTCCCAATCTTGATTTATGGCAATAAAAAAGTATCTGTACATGACTGTCTTAACCAAATATGAGTTATCCCTTCTTTGGCTTTCCTGTGTAAAATATTCAGCCTGAACAGTAACACAGTTTGACTTACGTTTTTCAAGTAATTTGGAGGCGTCCAGGTTTGTAGAAATTTCACTATTTGCTTCTAATGACAATTTTTCCTGTAATACAGATAAAAAGGTTAAGTTAACAAAAAGAGGCATACTTGCCAACCCTCCCTATTTAGGAGGAACAGTCTCGATATTGGACCCTGAAATTTAGTGTATTTTCAACATGTGAATTTGCTACACTATTACCATATTCAAAGATCTAATGATTTCATCTATAAGAACAACTCAAAATATGTCATTTAAAGGGTTATTTTATTGAGGTCATGGCTCCTAACTTCGTATTTAACATATAGAGGTTGTGGTTCTTAACTTCGTATTTAACATATAGATGTTGTGGTTCTTAACTTCATTTTAACTTGTCCTGGTCGTGGGGACACAATTTATTTGAGCTTTCAGATTCTCCACCATGGAAATTTCTAAAATGTTGGCAAGTATGAAAACAACAAAACCAATTTCATTTTTTCAGACATGAAGAAAAATGATAACCGATGATCTTTTAACATGATGATGTTTCCCTAAAATAAACATGACATGACTTCAGCGTTACCTTTTTTTCATGAATGTACAAAGATATTCTTGAATGCCCATCCCACTTCCAACACCCAAACCCTCTAACTTTTTTAACCAATTCAAAATTACGAGGTAAAAGTCTCACTTAATTTCAGCAATTATTTAAGCAAGACCAACAAAATCATAATACATATGTTTTTCTTACATAGCTCCAGCACATGTAAATTTTGAACTTACAAGCAGCAAGATTTTACTAATAGGATAATTGGAGAAATAATACTAGTGATATACCTCTTCTTCTCTGGTTTCAACTTCCAGTGCTCTCTGTCGTGTTTTCATCATCGACATATAATTGTGTTCAATTTCCTGCAAAAGAAGGAATTTCATTGTACATTTATATATACATCAGGCAGACTTTGAATAATTCTTCTAGCCCAAATAACATTTTCATAGTAAATATTGATAATTTTCATTTGCCCCTACGTAATATTTACCTATACTTGGATTCAAGCTATACAATGTGGAATTGCACATCCCTGCACACACATTTCATGGAATTATGTATACATTATATATGTACAGATTCTTAGGGATCAACAATCAAAGTGATTCAAAATACATTTGGATAATTTTAAACAGAAATTCAAAAGGATCAACTTAACTGATGGTAAGCAATCCTTACCAGCACAGCTACTTTCGAATACACTGCTATGACTAATATTCTACGAACTGCATATTTATAGCAATCTTATAGAACAGATTTTTTGAATTGTGAATCAAGTTGATGACTGAAAATTAAGCCCTTCATCACAATATAAAATTAAGTACGACTTTATTCAAAGTTTATATTTGCAGTTATATCCTCTAGTATGCAAGTACCTGAAGTGAGGGCGGGGTTTTCCTGCTGTGCCGAAGCCATGCTGAAAATACAGACAAAAATATTAGTAAATGTTTGTATTGAAACCAGAAAAGTGTCCAGTGGTTCAGAAGAGGAAATTGTGTGTAGAAATTACTGATTAACAGACAACTGATACATCTGTACAGCATAAGCTCACCAAGACGTTTTGGACCAGGTGAAAGTAGAGAAACTGAGCGAACTCAAAAAGATAAACCCCCGCTTCGTCTTATCTAGGTATTCAAACTTTGTCTGCAGGAGGCATAATATTCAAGTTACAAACCCCATCCTTCATAATATACTTTTACTGTGATAAGTTACAGACAAGCAAATTTGTTGAATTTATATCTCCCGCTTGCAGGACATATTGTAGGTAAACATTATTGAGGTTAGGTTTTAAACATGTGCTGTTGAGACATAATGTATAGCTTGAAACTCGGAGAAAAAAAAGCCTTGCACAAAAGTTAGACTTTTTATTAAACATGTAGGTATTACAGTGTAAATTAATCGTTTAGTCCATCAGAGTTTACTAACCTCATTAATTCTCCATAAATATGCACAAATCACATCGGTTGGCAAACTTAGCATGAGTGCGATGTGCATACAGAATTTGGTTGAAATATCTGAACAATATCTACAGCAATTATCACACGAAAACCAAAGAGTGCCCGAGATGGGTGGAAAGACAGAGAAACACAAACATTGTTGTCAAGTTTGAAGGAATTTGGCTTATATTTGCTGGAGTTATTAAGTGGAAACTGCAGATAATGATTTTTTTCGTTAATCAAGGGGCCATAACTCCACCAAATATAGTCTGCTGAAAGTGGTCATCGAACTTGGTCGAGCCCTTAAGGCATTTAACCCTGGTACCAAGTTTAAAGAAAATCGGTTAATATTTGTTGCAGTGATTGCACGGAAACGGTAGATAATGGTGTTGTTTTTTGTTATTCAAGGGGCCATAACTCCACCAAATATAGTCTGCTGAAAGTGGTCATCGAACTTGGTCAAGCCCTTAAGGCATTTAACCCTGGTACCAAGTTTAAAGAAAAATCGGTTAATATTTGTTGCAGTGATTGCACGGAAACAGTAGATAATGGTGTTGTTTTTCGTTATTCAAGGGGCCATAACTCCACCAAATATAGTCTGCTGAAAGTGGTCATCGAACTTGGTCAAGCCCTTAAGGCATTTAACCCTGGTACCAAGTTTAAAGAAAATCGGTTAAGCTGTTATTTGTTGCAGTGATTGCACGGAAACGGCAGAAAATGGCGTTGTTTCGTTATTCAAGGGACCATAACTCCGCCAAACCCAAATTAATATCCCCCGTTTCGGTGATAGCGAGAAATAAAAAAAAGTACAACACTAAGGAGGAGTTGAATTTATAAGGCTTCTGAAGCAGAAATTTAAGTTTCAAGAGCCATAACTCCAGGAAAATCAGTCTTTATACACATCTCCATATGATGTATTTTCACCATGCTACGTTACGAACAAATCTAACAAACAGTTCAAGAGGAGTTTTGTTTATAATGTTTCTGGACCAAATATTTTAAGTTTGAAGTGTCATAACTCTAGGAAATATATTAACCAGAAGTCAAATATCATATTCCTTTCACCATGTACATCTAATTATGATGTACTTGCACTGTATCAAGTTACAAAAAAATCCAACATGGTTTAAGAGGAGATGTGCTTACTAATGATCATGGATGGACGGATGGACAGTATGAACACCTTAGTCTTGCTTCCACTTTGTGGCGGCGAGACCAAAACTTGCTGTAAGATATGTAGCTTTCACTAATTTCATTTAAAAAAATCAACGTAAACACATTTAAGCATACTACTGAGTAGTTTAGCTGCATACAGCATCGGATCATAACTCATACACATGTACATGTGCAACAGGCTTACAGGACAGCAACAACATCCCTAGAGGGCCTATATTGCTCACTGTGTGCTTTTAAGCAATTATGGCAAAATCCTCCTATTGAAAGTAAACTGGGAAATATTTTTCTGTTTTGGTTGAAGTCTAAATGCATGTGTATGGTTATAAGGCTTGAGTTAATGACGCTGAAAGTAATTCCCCATGGGCCCAGCCAGACCCCATGGCTGACCCTGTTAGCAGTAGCATGTGTTTTGTTTTTTAATGTCCATCAAGTTAAGGGATGATATCTTGATCATTTCCAAGTTATGAATCATGGACCTAGCTTCCAAGGGCTTGGCTGAACCCCTTGGTCAATCTTATTTACATAAGTGTATTAATGATTTCATACATAACCATTACAAATATGTTTCAAGGGTGTAGATTTCAATTATTCAAATGTTTTGACCCAGGGACTAAACCCCAATAAACTGAAACTGTAATTAATTATAAGGTCAAGCTCTGGTAGCATTTTGTTATACCTACAGATAGCATTTTTCATAGAGTTATGATATAGGGATCTCAAACAATCCAGATTATAACCCAGAGACTAAGTACCCAGGGATGAGTCAAGACCCCTGGACCAATCTTGAGCAGCTGGTAGCATGACTACATTTGTATTCTCATGACTAGGAACTAGGAACTGTTACTATTATTTAAAGGGTGTGTATTCCTACTGTTTCCATGTAATGACTCTGCAGTTACTAATTGACCAGGTTAATCGACAACAGACTGATATAAAAAAAAGTCGATAAAACGTCAGAATAATTCGGACTACCGGGAGTGCTGCCCCCTTCCCCCTAGCCAATCTTAGCATGAACATTATAATATCCCTATCCTACACCTTTAGGCATGAAAGAGTATTTTTCTATCATTCCAACTACCAGAATAAGCCTAAAAACCATAAAAATGTGTTTGGACTGGCTTTCATTTTGAAAACTATCCATTTTCCCCCTGAACTGTTTAGACGAAAACGAATTCGTCACGAGATTTAGCAAACCCCATATATGCAAACAGAGTTTGCGCAGAAAAAAATATCTCATCTTCCTAACGTTGCCTTTTCCACATTGCGGCATCAGTGTTTTCCAAATTCGTGATGTCATATCATTGTTGAGACATTGTGATGTCACGTCATGTGAAATGGGGTGTAAGATAGAAATTTTCTACACCCCTTTCTTACCTTGGACATTTCTATCTTACACACACGGGAATGAGAGAAAAATATATATATTCAACTTTTCTTGCTCTGCAATTGTTTAAATGGTTATAGGGTTGGATTAAAAACTGTTTTCATGCAAGGTCCAGGGACTAAGTCTCCAGAGGTGGGGCTGAACTCAGAATCAAATCCTAACACTAGGATTTTGTTCAGCACTTTATGCCTAGCAGCAGTATACATAGATAAGGGGATATAGCATATTCTGTGTTATGTTATGACCTTGGTTGTATTCATCTCTTAGTGCTCAGTCAGGGCATAAGGTTCTAAGACGTTAGGGATGGACTAGACCCAAGGGCCAATTCTGGTAACATGAATGCATACTTTACAAGTGTATGTGGTTAAAAAGTGGAGTTTTTGATAATTGTTCAAGTAATATATCTCTACAGTGACAATTGCTCTTTTTGGGCCCTATATATATTCCACCAGACCTGGGGTCACCCAACTTTATTTATAAAACAAGGGGCCAAGAGGGCCTGTATCGCTCACCTGAATATGTTTAAAATAATTGGTATTAAGTAAAGATATAGCACTCCATGGTAGGTGCTGTAAGGTACATATGAAATTTCAGAAAGATCCACTCAGTACTTGAGATATAACAAATTTCAAACAGAGCCCCACCCCTATGCCCCTAGGGGGGTCATGCCCATCGTTTATACAAAATTGAGTCCCCTTGGCCCAAGGATGCTCCAGACTAAATTAAGATAAAATCCCTTAATCCCTATGGTAGAAGAAGGATTCCCTCTATTTCCCCTATAGGGCCCAGCCCCTCAGGTCCCAGGGGGGGGCCACACCCACTGTTTATACAAAATTGGTTCCCCTTTACTCAAGGATGATTCACACCAAATATGGACCAAATCTTTTCATTCCTACAGAAGAAGGATTTTAAAGAATAATTTGCTATGTTTCCCCTATTGGGCCCCGCCCCTCAGGCCCCTGGGGGGTCAGACCCATGGTTTATACAAAATTGGTACCCCTTCACCCAAGGATGCTTCAGACTAAATATGGAATAAATCCTGTCATTCCTACAGAAGAAGAAGGATTTTTAAGAATTTGCTATATTTCCCATATTGGGCCCCGCCCCTCAGCCCCCAAGGGGGCCAGACCCACCGTTTATACAAAATTGGTTTCCCTTAACCCAAGGATGCTCAACACCAAATATGGACCAAATCCTGTCATTCCTACAGAAGTAGAAGGCTTTTAAAGAATAATTTGCTATGTTCCCCTATTGGGCCCCGCCCCTCAGGCCCTTGGGAGGGCCAAACCCATGGTTTATACAAAACAGAGTCCCCTGGGCCCAAGGATGCTCAAAACTTAATAAGGATAAAATTCCTTAATCCCTAGGGTAGGAGAAGGATTTTGAAGGTTTTACCTCTATTTCCCCTATTTGGCCCCGCCCATCTGCCCCCAGGGGGCCACACCCACAATTTATACAAAATTGAGTCTCCTTGGCCTAAGGATGCTCCAGACCAAATTAAGTCAAAATCTACTTGGCCGTTCAGGACTAGTAGCGTTTTAAAGGAAAAGTTGACAGACAACGGACGACGGACGCTGCGGTATGGCATAAGCTCATCATGGACCAGGTGAGCTAAAAATATTCACCTGGCAGTATTGATATTTCAAACAAAAACATACTGTCGTAACTTCAGAACAAATTTAGTAAATATCCTTGTATAGCTACGTACCGTATACTTAAGTTCTTAGGGAGTACAAGTTGCAAATTTTACCTCTATTTCCCCTATTGGACCCTGTCCATTACGTCTTCTTCCACTTAAGTCTTAAGTCTCCTTGACCAAGAGGCACAAACCAAATTTGGCTGCAATTCATAAGTTATTGAAACTAAAGAAGTTTTACCATTATTTACCAGGCCCTGCCCCTTCATCCCCAGAGAGTCACACCTTATGTTGACAGTGATACCCTTTTGAGTCCCCTTAGTCCGAGGATGCAACATATCAAAATCATTATCAAAATTGACGGAGTAAGATTCACAAGATCCATATTTCTCTTAAGTCTTATTGAGTCCTACTCTTTAACCAGGGGGAGGGAGGGGGGAAACCTTCTGCTTCTAATGCCATGAATTTTCTTTGCCCAAGTTGTGGTGACACACACTGGTTTATAACAGAACTTATATGTAATGATGAACTAAATTGTGTCAGATTTGAACCCAGAACCTCCAGATGGATATTGTATGATATGTAAAGTATTGGCATATTGACAGTGATTTCTTGGCCTGTAAAATATAGGCTACTGAATTTTCAGCATGTCTTTTTATGGAGTCAAAATTTACCATTCCATTCTGTTGGTATTTCTAGTTCACTGTCCACCTTGGTCTGTCTATGAAAAGGTTTCACATAACGCCAACCTTTTCGATTCCTCCTCTCATCTGAAAAATACATATATAATGTAACAAGTTTTGACAGGTGTCAATTTCAATGCATCAAATATACATGTAATGTAACAAGGTTTGAAAGGTGTCATTTTGACAATGCATCATCGTGCTGAGTTTTATAATTTGTCACTTTTCAAGGATACCCTGCATGTCTATCTTCACTTCACATGCACAATCAATGACAATAAACAGCAGAGAGTGTAAAGGTATCCAAAGTATATAGATGCCAAATTACAGAGAACAAATCATAGTCATAAGTATAATCATCACTTCCATAAAGAAAAAACTTAACCTTTGCACATGAGAAATTCATGAGCAGCTTATGAACAACATGTGCACTCAAGAAACAAGTTAAATTGTATGCAAATGAAGAAAACGGGACAAATTAAAACAGAAATTTTCCAAATTTGCAGCTGGTATTTTTGAACTGCCAACATGGTTAGGAGTCAACACTACAGAATTGCCATCTCCTCAGCAAAATGTTGTTGAAAAGATACAAGAAAAGGTCAAAGATGTTGTTCAAGAGAATAGAAATTTGAAAAGAGAGTTGGAGGAAAACAATGGAGAAAAAGACTACCTTATGAATGAGGTGGAATTTTTAGAAAACAAGTTAATTGAAAGTTTAACCATTCTTAAGACTTTATAAAATACCTACAGAGAAATCATAAGGACACATTCCATGGAAAAGGTAGCTTTAGAAAAGAAACCATCTACACTGTGAGAACAATATGACAAAATATCAAATTCATTTGATGAAACAACAATGAAATTACAAAATACCAAACAAAATATAATGTTAGAAATGTAAACAAAAGACAAACAAGATATCCCAGAGGGATCTTGGCGCCCACCATTGTACCATCTTCACTAGTTCTTTGTCAGTTCGATCATTTCTCTTCTTTCCTCTAATATGTTTGATCGAGTCATGTTAACAGTAAATGCACCTTGAGGTAACTTTTGATCTAAACTTAATTCTGATGTGTATGAAAGCCAACCTTCAAAGTGAGTTTGTCATTTCACATATTTACTAGTACAGTACTTAATGTGTAAGAAATAGAATCGATCATTGCAATATGAGAAAGATCTGTTTAGTTTTTCCTTTAGCCATTTTGTTTTTATGATCAGCCTCAAAATATAACATGCACAACGAGGGATCAAGGGGAACCTACATATCAAATTTGAGAAATATCCCTCAAGTTATTCCTGAGAAATAGTACTAACAAACCTTCAATGCCAAAAAACGAAGATGGCTGTACGTAGGCCATTTCGTTTAACTGATCAGTTTCAAAAGTAAACATGAACAATAAAGGATAGTGGGAACCTGGCCAAAAATTATTTTTTGGACAAGTAAAAATTTGAAGCAAATGACATATTGGTGGATCAAATAATTTTGGGAAGAAATATTTCCACAGCATTTAACACAATGCTTCAGCACCTTTAAATTACATATAACATGACAAGGTTTGTAATATGTAAAAAAGAATAAAACATCATATTTTTAATTCTTCAACTCTAGTTAAAACCTGACATGATCCACTCCATTCAGGTCTTCCCAAAAAGAAATACACAAAACTTGCACCTCAAAGAAGACACCCTCGCAGTATTTATATAGAAAATCAGAAAAAAAATCATCACACTTTCTAAATCACGGGCAGTTCGATTCAAATCGAAGTAATGACAACTGAAAAATGTACTGCCCCCCCCCCCCAGTTAGTTTGGAAGGGACTATAATTTCTTTTATATTCATCAATATTTCTTTTTGTTGGGCCAGTGACTACCTCACTTTTGACAACTTTTAGTAACTCGAGCAAGACTTTAACCGCCATTGGCGAGCAGGCGGCCGTCCATGTCAGGCACTGCTGCACAACAAGGGAACAAGGGGAACCTACATATAAAATTTGAGAAAGATCCTCCCGTACTTTCAAAGAAATAGCGATAACAAACTTTCACTAACAAAATCCAAGATGGCTGCCTGTCGGCCATGTTGTATATCTGATCAGTCTCAAAGGTTGCCCTGCACAACAAGGGAACAAGGGAAACCTACATATTAAATTTGAGAAAGATCCCTCTCGTACTTCCCGAGAAATAGCGATAACAAACTTTCACTATCAAAATCCAAGATGGCTGCCTGTCGGCCATGTTGTTTATCCGATCAGTCTCAAAGGTTGCCCTGCACAGCTAGGGACCAAGGGGAACCCACATATAAAATTTGAGAAAGATCCCTCTCGTACTTCCCGAGAAATAGTGATAACAAACTTTCACTATCAAAATCCAAGATGACTGCCTGTCGGCCATGTTGTTTATCCGATCAGTCTCAAAAGTTGCCCTGCACAGCTAAGGACCAAGGGGAACCTACAGATAAAATTTGAGAAAGATTCCTTTGGCACTTCTTGAGAAATACCGATAACAAGAATAGTTTAAGGACGGACGACGGACGGACGGACGCAAAATCCGAAGACAAAAATTTCAATATCACAAAAAGCTGACACCCACATTTAATAATTCAAACACTTAATTGTTTGTCTTGATTTCTTTTTTCATTTGAGCTATAATATATATATTGCATATATCTTAAAACCAGAAATTGACACCAGACATCTCTATGGGTACATTCCTGTATCCTGTTGAAACGGTTGAATCGGTTGAACCTGTAAAGAAAACGAAAGGTACAAATCTGAGCCGAGATTGACCTCAGGAAAATTTGGACGTGTAGAATGAGGGGTTCAGACGTACCTAACCGAAACCAAGATGCTGACTATTGCTAGTTTATAAAACAATGTCAAGCCAGCTGTGTGACATGTAGTTTTTAAGATACATTATGTAATTCAGTGAACGCATGAAAGAAGGGCATACTATTATTGATATATTGTTTTTTATTCTCCAAAACTGTGCATTTTTAGCTCTGCTTATAATGTCTAAGTGCATTCATTTATCGTGAAATATTTCTGCGCCACACGTACCGTTTGAACCAGGATACACGAATGTAGCCTTATTCAAATTATCTAAGGCTACATTCGCGTATCCCGGTTGAAACGGTATGTGTGACGCAGAAATTTTCTACGATAAATGAACGCACTTGGACTTGAACGCAAAAGTCAGCATTTTAATTTCGGCCAGGTACGTCTGGACCCCTCAATCTTCTTCATCCTTCTTGGGTGTGGACTTGGTCCGCCCAAGTACGGGAGTAGACTTGAACTGTAACAGGAGTGTAAAACGTCCCGGAGGATTCTACACGTGCTGAATTTTCCTGATGTCAGCCTCGTTTCAGATATGTACCTGTCGTTTTCTTTACAGGTTCAACCTGATACGCGAATGTTCCCCTGGTGTTAGGAAACTCGGGCTAGCTCCTGTGATACTGGTCGTGTATCTCAAAAAATTGATGTAACCAATATATTTCTCACTCTTAATATATTCAAGATATTGACAGGAGATTGACGGTTCCAGGTTAGTTCATAGGGACCTGTTACCTTAGTTTATATAAAATATAGCTGTAACAAATTCTAAGGTCCCTGACTGCCTGAGCTGAGGCCTAGGGTTAGCTGGCTGTGTTGCTGTGTTGTGTACTGTTAGAACAGTTTAGAATGGGATCATGTTATCGACATCTTTACCCGCAAGTCTTTCGTAGTATTTGTTCCCCAGGTGATCTTCTCCTTTTAGTATCGAGTTTGGAGCACCGAAAGAATTCCAAAAATGTCGAAAGATCCGTAAGAGCGAAGAACCTTTTCTCTCCATGTTGTCTGTTGTCTGCTGAATTATTGCAGAACACATTTAACACAAGTCCAAGAAAAATGGATATGAAGCATTATGACCTTGGCAAAATAATTTCAAGTTATGTCTATAAATATTATAAATATATAGTCTATATCGATTTATACTACCAGATATGATATTGTTACAATTTAGAGGCAACGGATTGCCTCTGCTTTAGGGTTTTACTCTTAAAAAACACTCTCTTTTTCATGTGCTCTTTTGAGTATTTTATGCATTTAGTATCACCCTACTTGTGACCAATCAGATTGCTTGTTACATAAATTATAAAAAAAGATGGCTGCTGAAAGAGGGACAAGATTTTCTCCGGCGAAAATTTTCACTGGAAATAAGTTTTCGAATGATGGAAGCTTCTTAGAAATGTTTAAAAAACATATGGAAGAGAAAGATGAATTGAATTCAAACACAACGAAGGAATCAGACTCCTCAAATGTGGATAAATCGTCTTCCTCTTCTGTTGGTCAAGAAACTTCCGACTCGACGGCCACTGACAAAAAACCGGTTGTTTTACCTATTGTAAGGACGGAAACAGGAACACCAAAGAACATTTTTGAAATTGATTTTTTATCGAATTAAGTTATTGTTCTTGAATGCCTTAATTGATGTCTTTTGTCATAAAAGGGAAGGAACTCTTCCTCACTGTTAATCAATGATTTTTTATTTTTTTTTATACTGAAATGGTGAATGAGTGAAATAAAAACACACAAAGTTCTGTTAACACTAGGAGCGAATAGGAGCGTATTTTTTTAAACATAATCCAATAATTATAAATAACAAAATGAAATACATTTGTACACAAAAAGTTATCAATTCTGATATCTTAGTTTTTGTGAAAATGACCAACCATATTACTGACATTGTTCTCAATTAACTTAATTATCAGGTTGGGGAAAACCACCAACTTGCGTATAATACTATAATATACGCAAACTCGCCTATTATACGCCAGTTGGAGTATTGATTTGTTACTAAAAATAACCCAAATCGCTTTAACAGTAACTTTTGCAATATATTATTATAAATCACATTAATTTACGACAAGGTAAATAATATTTTGCTACAAGATGTTTACTGTTCAAAGACATTGGCTACTTGGAAGTTAGAAACTTGATGTAACTCTACCGGCATCCTCAATTTCCAGGTGTTACGATCGCGATCACCTACGCTCTATACGTGCTTTTTGATAGGTCAGGTTTTTTCTCCTGAAAACGTCCGTAGACCAATCAAATAGCTACCCGCGTGCCTTCAATTTTGCCATGACACATTCAAGGGGTGTAGAGAGCGTAGGTAATGGTAACCCCTGGGAATCGAGGATGCTCTACCGGAAGTATTGCATCTATGACTAAATAAATGTGACTTGGGCAAACAATTGGAAAAAGTTAAGCTTAAAGTGATTTTTACTATTTTAAGTAACAAATCCATACCCCGATTGCCATATAATAGAATCGGTGAATTTGCGTATTATACGCAAGTTAGTGGTTTTCTCCAACCTGATTATATACTGTATATGTAAGTTCAGTATGTAGTTGATGGGATCAATCAGTGCAAATGTGACAGGTGAGCATTAATTTTTTTCGTGTGCTATTTATAGCTGATCTACAACACACTATAAGCATTGGCATGGAGGTGAATCGAATGATACAATTTGTATTTTTTACAAAAATTTAGACAACTGAATCAACTTATCATTGTGCACAATTGCACCTCATTGTATTAGATACTGGATTGTGTTGAGAGAATGATGCCCTTTATTGTACATGTTCATAATGTTTCAAAGAACTTCATTTGTTTTCATTTCACTTTATTCCCCATTTCAGTAATAAAAATGTTACTGTAAATGGTAACTGTTGCCCAAATGCAGGATTATCATGTATGCCCATATGCTGTATCCACCGCTGTTCCTAGCCTGATAACGGTTTTAAGTCTTTAGATGATAGATTATATTTTGATACATGTAGTAGGCCTATAGCTACTGTACTGTGTTAATCGGTATAATTTTTTCATGGTCACAAAAACTCTATTTTTGAATCAAAATAAGGAAAACAATTGCTAGAGACGTTCCCAACCATGTTTTGACAGTTGTTACATGCATGTACATTCCCATTTTTACATCCTGTAGCAATTTCTCTGCTCCCCATGTGCACCACCTCACTCCAATATTTCTGGAAGAATATTGTCATTGCCTTGTCTCTGCATTTTTTGTCCAAAACAAATGGCATCAAAATGGTAGCTATGTAAAAAATTATATGGTGAATCAGAAATGGTCACTCAGCAATATGATATACATGTAGTGTCATGTTACCTACTGTACAATCATGATCAATGTACCTATGAGTATGTGATACCCCTGATATGATGAAAGAATTTCCATCTAAATTTGTCAGTACTTCTGTTGTCAGGTAGGGAAGAGGAAAGGGGCTAATCGTGCACTCAAAACTGGTATTGTGGCCAAGAAACCAAAACCAGAGAAAAAAGTAAGTAGCAAGGGTCTGATGCTGGTGTATGCTGTGTAGCTTCACAAGACAGTCAACGCACCTGGCATATATATTTTTCATGTACACTGCCAGTATCCTGTAGCTAGTTAACTGATCAACGGTCTTGGGTGATTTTCTGGCAAAGAAACCCAGTTACAACTCGACTAGTATTTTTCTTTTCTACACATGCAGGTGTAATCCCAGATGTGTGTTACTACCAAGTTTCTTTTTTGAAAATTAAATTGAACAATTGAAATTTAATTTGAACAATTCTGGAAATAAAAAGCAACTGATCATTAAGATTTTTTTTCTAATAGAACAAAACTTCATTTCCTTATCTTAAGTACAGATGTTTAATAAACAGAAGGGGTGAACAAATTCCCACATTTCCATTCTTTTAAATAATGTAAATAAAAAGAAAGGAAATGTGTTGTATGGCACTTAGATACGTAACCAATTATTCCCAACTCAAGGAAGGTTCCTTTAAAATACCTAGAAATAACCCTGCAGTTGAATTGTCAAAAACAATTTTGGTACTTGGCAAAAAAGAAAAATAATAAAAATAAAAATAAAGGAAATAGTGAAATAATGTTTTTATAAGGCTATATATTGCACATTAAATGTGCATTGATATTAATGAATTATTTAGTACCCTAGGCCTACTGTAATGGGATATGCTACAATGTAAATGACAGTTGGATGTTGTAGTAATAATGTAGTGGAAACTTCATGTACATATAGATGTCAATTTTATGATTTAATTATAATTTTAGCTGGTGTAAACCAGTGTAAAAATTGACTTTCAGTTTTAATAACCTCATCCTCTTTTGGTAGATTTCTCGTACACTACTCATAAACCTTCAGTGACTCGTTTATGGTGACATGTTTTCAGATTCTGTCTAGATCTGCCAACTGTCTATCAACAATTTTGTTATTGCTTTTTGACTAACTTTTCTAAACATCCTTACAAATGTTCATGATGTTGCTTAACTAAGTAAAAAAAAACTTTAAAAATGTTGTATTAAAACACATACTGTATTTTTTTGGGATTTCTGAATCAGTACTGAATATGTTATTTAATGTCGGTTCCTTCAATTTGGTTGGCTGATGGTATGGCTTCTGCTTTAAAACAAAACTGTTTTTATTCAAATTTCAGGAGATTGTAGTACAATTGTACTGGTATATAGTAAGAGGCAGATCCTTTTTTTTTTGAAGGTTAATCAATATTCTCCCTATATTTATCAATGTTTCTAACTTTATATTCACTACATGTACACTTCATGAGATCGATTAAAGCATTGGATTAGTGACAGCTGAGACTCTAACCATAGTCATTTCAATGGTTCAATGAGTACAGGACTCAGAATTCCCATTGGAATTTTCAATGCTGGATGCTTCCTGCTAATTGCTTCAGAGTTCCATTGTAAATCTGACATGTTCTAATTCTTTTTACCAGTAGTCATCTATATCTACTTGTTAGTGGTAGATCTTGTATTTGAACAAAAAGTGTTCTACAAGGTGGTAAGTGGTTTTTTTAGATTTCCATAAATTTTGATGGAACATTTAAATGTTGTAAAACATTGGCTTTTTCTTTTTGCCTATTCATACTTAATATGTAATTTCATGTACATGTATGTATGTATTAGGAAAATTCTTAATGATATTCATATTTGAATGGTTGTTTGTAGAAAGATTTACGGTAAGAATTTTAGAACTAAGGAAATTTTGGTTGTTGTGTGAAAAGATTAGATTCTTTTCAGGAGGAGTCTGACGGTAGCGCTTGGTCTAAGTATTTAGCTGAAGTGAACGAATATAAGTCTAAGATGTGCATGGATGAGGACAAAAGCAGGCCACTAGTGAAATGAGTAGTCCATGCAAAGTGAGTATTGGAGGACAAATGCAGGCTGCGGTGGAACGAGAAGTTTACATGGGAAGTAACCATTACGACATCTCTGAGAAGACTTGATCTGCATTAATAGACTGTTTTCTGAGAGACGTTGACCAACCTCAAACTTTTCTACCTTATAGCTATAGCTTCATTGTAACATCAGATTGAAATGTTTGCATTTTTCAGTACTTGGGGCACTTGATTTTCCAGACTGAACTACAAGTCTTTTGTGCATAGATTAGTTCATTTTTGGAAAACTAAGTTTACATTTTTACCAATGCAATCTTCAATTTGTTTGATAAGTTGAAGAAAGGAAGAGATTTTATTCAGAAATTTAAAATTTGTACCGATCATTTGGAAGGTGTAACCTATTGTGCATACTGAAATTATTTGATACTGATTTTTGTTCAATCATTGAATTCTGGTGGTACATTGCTTTCCAGAAAATTGTGAATTTATATATCCTTGTATAATGGAATTGTACTTATTGAAAAAGTGAGCAGAATCTGTGCATATTTCAAAAGGTTACATATATATATAGATCCTAGATTCTGATGGGCTGACACACTCCAGACAGCAACTTCCCTTAATACAAACATTGATATGTCAGTCCTGCTTTGTTATTGATGCTCAGGCCTATAGTTCAAAGATGAATGGAATCCGTGCTGTACCCGTAACTGATATATAAAGGGGAATGGCTACTTGCTTAGTTCTGATTGGTGGTTGAAAACAATTTTCCTAATTATTTTTGAAAATATAAGTTAAGTTTAATTTTTGTATACCTGGTAGATGAGAATTGAAGAATCTTCACATTCAGTTAGGATACAGGCTCTGACTTAATTCTGATTGGCTGTCTCTTTCTTGAGATGTTTTACGTTCATGTGTAGATTTTTACCAAAGTTGGTGCATGTTTTCATGTCAAAAACTCAGACCATTTGAACTGCTACAGTTTGAATTGAACAAATACTACATTTTTAATGATAATGAGGTTACCGACACTTCCTCAGTTCTGATGATTGGTTGTCATTTTTTTTCTCTCGAAAATATCTTTCCAATGTGTGTACAGGATTTTAACAAATTTTGCTTATGCTTGTTTAATCTTAGTGTTCAAGATGGCTGGAATCTGTGTTTTGTAATGAGGATACAGAAGGTTTTGCAGTTCTGATTAGTTGATGCTATGTCCAGACTTCAGACATATTAAGATGGTGTTATGATTATTGTATGGATGAGATAATTACAGTAACGTACATACATTCTATGAATTTCCATTTTTTTAAATATTTTTTTTGTGTGTGTGTTGTGTGTACTTAATTGCCTTCAAGAATTAATTGGACTCAGATCAGCAATACTTTTACCAAAACATAATCAATATAGTGATTTTAAGACCTGGCTTAGATATGGCCAATCATGTCAAAAAAGGTAGCACATCAGATTTCATTTAGACCACATAGTCAACTAGAGCTAATTAACGTGTAATAGATGACCAGGTTTATCTGTCAACCTTATAACATAATATGTTGTTCCTTGTAAGACATATCTATTCGCTGTACTACCATCTCAATATTTATTAAACTTAGTCACTTTTTAAAAGCCAGCGACAATCTTAATAACAGTCTCAATTTTTTGTGGATTTTTTTTTTTTTAAATGCAGTCAGTTTTTTAATCCTGACGTGTACAGTAACACCTCAATATAGCGCTCCTCATGTGTTTGTCACATTGTTAAACCCCTTCATCATGCCAAAATTTTGCTGGACAAAATGTGGCAGTATAGCAGCATTCAGATTTGTTGACTTTTGATGTAAAATTCTGAATTTTGAGTCCTTTTATCTAAAGTCACTAAGTTAGGTTTTCACTTAAACATATGTTCTTTTTCATGGATTACTTCAACATTTTTTTGCATAGAACAACCAGTCTTTTAAAAGATATTCTGTCTGGTATCCTATACATGATGTGTTTGTCCTGTACACCATTACACATTGTGATGAAGGGATTTCAGAAAGCTTGTTGGTTAAAAATTGTAGGGAAATACTTAACTAAATGTACTTATCTTTTACTTTATTTGATTTTCCAGTTACCTTTCAGAATGCAATTATTATCAATCTCCGGAGAATGACTGTGTCGGTAAACACAGATATAATATATATATGTAACAATGACTTCCAGTAAAAATCTGGTGACATGATCATGAATGCTGCTACATCTTTTTATTTTACAATGAAACTTTCCTGATGACTATTCCATTAATATAGTTGGGAGCCTGTCAGTGACCACACCCTTCTATTTTCTTTCTTGGCTCCACTAAAGTCATTTTAGCAACAACTTTTAGACTCCATCACTGATGTATTATTGGTCATAATTGCCAACTTTTTAATCTGTCTTACTCAAAATTAAAAGTATAAATAAAATGTGTATATGTACATCCTAAGGATTTGTTTCTTCCCTGATACTCCCCCAACACCATGTAGTAATATCTGGAATAATTCATCTCAAAGGGGACCAAATGTCTGGAAACTTAGAAAGATTAAGGTCTAATAATTAGCATAGGTTTTGGGATTGGGACAGCTTAAATTCACAAAGGTTACATAAGCATCCTAGTACATTGTATTACGCACATACTTGTAAATATTTCTTGATAAAAAAAAAGAAATCATAATTGTACAACTGCTGAAAGTTTTATGAGTTTTTGTTTAGTTCTGTACATGTGTAACACGTTAAAATTTGTCTTCACTACGCATTTTATGTGTATATAGCTTCTTGTCCTTCAATATGTCGCTAAGCAATAATATACAATCATCTGCATATTTGAGAAGCTACTTGTACTTTTAAGGATGGTATTTTTAATTATGTAAATAAGATAATAAGGTAGAGCAACCCACCACTTTCCTTCTTTATACATGCTCGAAAATTTATTCTCCTGTGAATTTCATGCTATTTTCTGTAAATTCATACAAAGACAAATAAAGGTTGCATGCTTTTTGAGGGAGGGAGATATTTTGACAATAAGTATTAACAAATATAACTGCATGGTAGGACAATGTATAAACACCTGGTTTATGATCAAGATATCTGTGTATTAAATCGTCATTACAAGATGTTAAAGAAAGTTATGATAAATATATAACTTTCACTGTATGCATCTTTTTTGATGGGCAAGCAACTCAAGTTAGGAAATTGCCAAACAAATTAGAACCGTCCCTTTTTGGAGATACAACAAAGACTGCGGGGACTATCTACCTTAAGAAAAGGAAATTTGATACATATGTACGGTATACATGAATTCCTGTAGAGTAAAACATCATAAAATCTATCCTTGTGAATAAAAGCAACTTCTCAGTTTGAAGATATTTGTGAAACTGGATCGTATAGTTTCACACCGTGTTTGATAGTTGTCAACCTGCTGGACGTCCGGGTTGACAGTCATGGATGTGTACTTATATTGTACAGGTAATACAGAGTTGCTCGGATACAAATGTTTATATAAATTAACAATATATAATGGTGTTTTTTTTTGTTTTTTTGTTTGTGAATCTGGAATTTATAAATGTATATCATAGCATATACATGCATACGTTTCACAACTCTCAACAGATGTTATTAAGTACAGCCTCAGTTATGAAAGTGTTTGGATGGATATAGCAAGTCATGAGGAGTTTGAATGTGTTTCCTTTCATTATAATGACCTATGACATTAATATGGACTTTCACCAGTCAAAAATTGATGTTCGATTGGTTTGTAATGTGCACTGCACTTTATGTGTATTTTAATTATTACATCGTAATTCTCTTTTACCCCAATTTGAAAAGAAGAAAAAGTATGATTTTAAAAATGATATCAACATTATGGTATACAAATGTTCTGTTGTGTTAGTGTTTGGTTTTCAACTGAAGTATTAAGCTCTCACTAATTAGTTTTAAACTTTTAAATTAAGTCTCTTGGTAAAATTTTAGTGTCAAGTTTTGTAAAATTTAGAATTTTTAAATTAAATAACTTGAGTAAGTTATACAATCGTCCCAAATCATGGCTTTTTGAAGAACCTCAATATATGCAATGTATAACTATATACAATAATATAAAGATTAGATACTGTTTTAAGAACTAGTACTGGTGTATATTTGAATATGACTTGTTACTGCCAACCTTTTTTTTAAGCTACTGTAATACATAATTACTTACATGTATTCCACACTGCAAGTGGGAAATACTATAAGCTTCTGTTAAAGTGTTATGATAAAAGTCAGAGATTTATTCTGTTAATTTTAGTCTACTATTGATGACTTCTGTAAGAGAAATTTCTGTGTTTGTTTGAGTTGATTTAATTTTTAATTTATTGGAATATGTCTCATTTAGCTCCTCTTGCCCACTTCCTTTTTCTTGTGCTAAACCTATAGGGAATGTTTAGATTGTGAAGTGTTGTAATTTTGGAAATGTGTTCCTTAAGATCCAGTCATTTTTAACTATCATTATCTTTGGGTAATGTACAACTCAAATGAAAATTGTATTGAACCATTTTAGTTGAAAGTGATTTTAATACATTGATTCTAGTTTTTACCAGATAGCAGAACAATTTATTGTGGTTTTAAATTGTTTTAGTCTTTACAATAACATCCACATTGGGGGTGATAGGCCCGAGATAACAGTCATCATAGCTCTTGCTTTTATTCAATGTTACTAGATTTAAATAGCCAAAAGGAATGTATGAAATGGAGCAGATGATAAGATCATGTCCCAGTTCTACAAGCCATTGTTATCCTAACATTTGTTGATAAAAACAGTTAAAATGCACATATCCCCTCAGTGGTATAAATTTAACACAATGTATAATTTAGTACACATAAATTACATATTAGGAAATTTCTTTCAAAATTTCAACTTCAGAAAAATTTCCAATTTAAATATTCTGGTTTACTTGCTTTAGGCTAACAAGGTTTTGTTGGGTCATGCTTTTGATCCACTTTGCTAGCCAAGGATTACGATCTGATGAGATAAGACCGGATCGTACCGGATCGTAACATTAACCCTTGGCTAGCGAAGATGGCTTTTGATGAGATATAGCCATTTAGCTGTTGTTATATATTTCCAAAACTATTGTCTTGTTAATGTCTGCATATTTCCGCTGATGGTCTTATAGAAATACTGATGGTTGTCCATAGTCTCTTTTACTTTGATTTTTATTTGATCATGTTTTTAATTTGAATTGTTAATTTTCTTGTGTTATGTTGCGAGTAAGAGGTCGACTGAAATATTTTATTTAATTATTGTTCTAAATTGTACAGCAATATTATGAATGCAGAACATTATATATTTTTTGTTGTTATTTCAAATATGACTTTTTGGGGGAATTTGAAATGCACAAGAGGTAATGCTGTGAATTTAGCAGTATATACAGTATATGTAGTAGCTTTAATCCAGACACTTAAGTTCCAAGCAAAATTGGCTTAACTTGAAACAACTTTTTTTACTAGTAAAAGTTTGAATAGGAAAAGTTCCAGTCTGTCTGTAAAACACAGGCTGGATCATAAGACAAATAAAGTAGAGATGATGTTGGCTTGATTTACGAAGCTCCACGTTTTATATGGTGATAGCCTTTTTTGAGTTTGTATGTCATTTATCAGGGTTTCATATTCTTAATGGTCAATAAAGGAAAAGCATTTCAGCATACGTAGGTAAATATCAGTCTATCAGTAAAATCACTTATATTATACAAATATCAAAAATTTGCTTTGAGTTATCACAATCTATTGTTAAGGTTAGGATTATTCATATTTATTTGGTAATACCTGTATATAAAAGCACAAACGATAATGACCACTGAGGACCTTTGACCTCAGTTTTTTGCAAGGCTGTCAATGAACAGAACAACTGTATAGTAAATGTTTTCAAGATGATTATTTTTTAAAGGTTCAGAATTATATTGTTTTAAAATAAATTTTGTATGAATGATTTGCGAATGATCCTATTTTGTTTGGTTGGTGTTGTTTTTGTTTTTCTACATTATACATGCAATTATAACGCAAGAATATAATAAATCTCAACAAAGTTTTTACTCAAGCTTATTCTTTTTTATTATTGTTAGTTCGTCTATTAAATACTTACCAGTGGAACTAAATGTCAGAGGAATGGAAATACATGTTTAAAAAACCCATTGCAACATCAAAAATTTACGTCTTTTGACTACAGCAGATTTTTAGCTCACCTGGCCCGAAGGGCCAGGTGATCTTATGGCATGGTGCGGCGTCCGTCGTCTGTCCGTCGTCCTCCGTCCGTTGTCCGTCCGTCTGTCGTCAACATTTTACTTTTAAACAACTTCTTCTCTGTAACCAAAAGGATGATATTTGGCCAGAAGCATGCTGGGGTGAAGGGCTACCAAGTTTGTTCAAATAAATGACCTTCATCCATTTTTAAGGTCACAGGGGTCAACTATGTTAAATTTTTTAAACAACTTCTGAATAACCAAGAGGCGTAGGGTGATGATATTTTGCCAGTAATATGCTGGGATGAAGGGCTACCAATTTTGTTCAAATAAATGACCTCTATTTATATTCAAGGTCACATGGGTCAAATATGTTTAAAAACTTTTAACAACTTCTTCTGAATAACCAAGAGGCCTAGGGTGATGATATTTGGCCTGTAACATCCTGGGATAAAGGGCTACCAAGTTTGTTCAAATACATGACCTTGACTTATATTCTAGGTCACATGGGTCAAATATGTTTAAAACATTTAAACAACTCGTTCTGAATAACCAATAGGCCTAGGGTGCTTAAATTTGGCCAGTAACATGCTGGGATGAATGGCTACCAAGTTTGTTCAAATAAATGACCTTGATTTATATTCAAGGTCACAGGGGTCAAATATGTTTAAAACCTTTCAACAACTTCTTCTAAATAACCGATAGGCCTAGGGTGATGATATTTGGCCAGTAACATGCTGGGATGAAGGGCTACCAAGTTTGTTCAAATAAATGACCTTGATTATATTCTAGGTCACAGGGGTCAAATATGTTTAAAACCTTTAAACAACTTCTTCTGAATAATCAAGAGGCCTAGGGTGATGAGATGTGTCCAGTAACATGCCGGGTTGAATAGCTACCAGGTTTGTTCAAATAAATGACCTTCATCCATTTTCAAGGTCACAGGGGTCAAATATGTTTAAAACTTTTAAACAACTTCTTCTGAATAACCATAATGCCCAGGGTACTGATAGTTGGCCTGTAGCAAAGAGGGCTACCACATTTGTTCAAATGAATGACCTTGACCCACTTTCAACCTAATGTCATTGTTTGACATTCAGGGTCACATTGATATTCTGCCTGTAGCTGTACTTTAGTCCACTTTTAAGATTACAAATGTGAGATTAATACCAGGTGAGCGATGCAGGCCCATTGGGCCTCTTGTTTTAAGCTCACCGGCCTGAAGGGCAAGTGAGCTTCTGTCATGGTGCGTCGTCCATCGTCGTCCATCGACTTTACTTTTAAATAACTTCTTCTGAAGAACGGACAGGCCTAAAGTCATGATATTTGACTGAAAGCTTGGTTGATAGGAGTCTGACAAAGTTTGAGAACGAAAATGACCTTGACCTACTTTCAAGGTCACAGGATCAAATGTGTCAAACAATTCAAACGACTTCTTCTGAAGAACTGAAAGGTATATAATCTTCATATTCGGCTGGTGGCTACCTGGGATAGAGCCCGACAAAGTCTGAGAATGATAATAACTTTGACCCACTTTCAAGGTCACAACAGTCAATTATGTCAAACTCTCCAAACTACTTCTGAAGAACTGAAATATATAGAATCTTCATATTTGGCAAGTAGCTTCGTTCGTAAGAGCCCAACAAAGTTAAGTTTGAGAATGAAAATGACCTTGACCTACTTTCCAGGTCTTGGGGGTCAAATATGTTATACATTTTAACGACTTCTAAATAATCTTGGAGTATAGATTTATTAGGTCACCTGAGCTTTGCTCAAGTGACCTATTCTAATCGCTTTTCGTCCGTTGTCGTCCGTCGTGCGTTGTGCGTAAACTTTTACATTTTCAACTTCTTCTCAAGAACCAGTGGATGGTTTTTTTTCAAACTTGGTCAGAATCATCCTTGGTAGATGAGGCTTCAAAATTGTAAAATTGGGATTCCTACCCCAACCCCTGGGGCCAGGGCGGGGCCCCAAAGGGAAAATTAACCAATATTTCAAAAATCTTCTTCTTCAGACTCCGAGGTACTACACTCATTTTCTCTGCGTGGAAAAAAAGATCATCAGGGGCTTTACTTAAATTGTAAATTTCAGGACCCCCGAGCTATCCGTTCTCCCTTGGGGAGGGGGTAAAGTTTACTATAGTTTATATAGGGAAATAACACTTTTGGGTATATTTTGACAACTTTCTGTAGGAAATTATTTTTACTTGGTGAGAATTATCCTTGGAGGTAGATGGTTTCAAATTGTAAAATTGAGATTCCTACCCCGACCCCTGGGGCCAGGGCGGGGCCCCAAAGGGAAAATTAATCAATATTTCAAAAATCTTCTTCTCCAGACTCAGAGGTACTACAGTGATTTTCTCTACGTGGAAAGAAAGATCATCAGGGGCTTTACTTAAATTGTAAATTTCAGGACCCCCGAGCTATCCGTTCTCCCTTAGGGAGGGGGTAAAGTTTAATATAGTTTATATAGGGAAATAACACTTTTCGGTATATATTTTATCCATTTTCAGCAGAAAATTACTCAAACTTAGTCAGAATCATCTTGGGTGAATGAGAGTATTACTTTGTAAAATTGGGATTCCTGCCCCATCCCCAGGGGCTAGGGCGGGGCCCCAAAGGGAACATTTACCAATATTTTCAAATTCTTATCCATTGATGACATGACAAGTATTGTATTTCACTTAGTTTACATGCTGATTTCCACATCACATCTAAACAATAAAATAAAGCTACCAGTACCTATGATATAACTCAGGTGACCGCTAAGGCCCTTGGGCCTCTTGTAATATTTGGCTAGTTGCTTCATGGGATGGAGACGACAAAGTTTACGAGTGAAGTATTTGTAGTACAGGATAATATTTAATGAGAATATTTTGATATGACTGCTTAAATATTCAGGTAAGCAATACAGGCCCTCTGGGCCTTTTGTTAAAATTAAGATTTCTGGTAAATCATGTCAGAATACATTCTGTCTACAAAGTTAAAACAAATCTCTGAGAGTGATCGTCCACCATCAAAGTCAACCACCTTGTGTATTATAAAGGCAAGAAATCCCATGTAGGGAAGCCCCTATATGTAAAACAAACTGAATGTCCAAACAGAAAGTCAAGCAAGCTGCACCATATGACCATTTCGTCCATTTAAGATAATTCGGTGGTACAAAACGTCAAAAGAACATGCAGAAATGGATCATTCATCGGGTATAGTGTGGCTATAATATTTAATCATATTCGAATCTTAACTCCATTGCAGTTTCAAGCTGATTTAAAGTTCCTTGAAAAAATGAAGAGAATATGTTTTTGTTTTAAAGAATCGACTAATTTGTATGAATATGCGCATAGTAATCACAGATAACAATTTTTCATTCTTTTCATCTTTTGTCCCTCTGATGAGTCGGTCCTTAACGGCGGAAATCGCCACATGGCACAGTAAAAATGTTTTATATGTTTGGCTGTTCGGATCTAAAAACAAGATTTTTAAATGGATGTTTCATTCCGTTGTATTTTGTAGTGATAACTGTACACGTTGACTGTGGTTGGACTGTATACCCCCCAGGTAGGACAGCTTTTTACTTGGAATATATTCAGGCACGGTTAACATAAAATACCAGTTTAAGAAAAAAACAATTGTAGCCTAAACATTTTAATGTGTAACGTTTTCATACGGTTCGGAACATTTCAGACATAAACAGGATTTTAATACCACATGCGAGTCAATATGGACGAAAAAGCCATATGGCCAAGTTCGTAAATTGTAACGTTTTACATGTAATTTATAGTCACCTCTTCCTTTTCACTTTTGTTTGGAACATTTTAGACAAGTATATTCATTATTTTGAGCTTCAGTACGACTAAGGAGTCTTAAGCGGATGAAAAGGCCTTAGGATGCAGTAAAACGTTTCCTATTTTTCGCTTGCAATATCTCTTGAGTCTGATTCCGTCTTTGTGTATTGCAGAGTTATCTTCTCTTGTGAACAGTTATTGATTGTTACGTCATTGTTTTGTGTAAGAAAATTACGTCGTTTTCTCAAAAATTGATGACGTTACTCTCCCAAACAAATGACGTAACAATCAATACCTGCTCACAAGAGAAGATAACTCTGCAATACGCAAAGACGGAATAGTCTACCAGCAGTCAGCTGCCTTGTGACGTAAGGTAATCACAAGTAATATAAAGTTATGAATAACTTACCGAAAGTCTTTGTAAGTCGATGAATAAAGCCAAATACATGTAACGTTAATGTTTACTGAATCAAAAGACCATTTCGTCCATCAAGAACCGATAAGTGGTACTACAGGTCAAAGGATTGAAAATCCATGTTTTAAATTTTCCAAAATATGTGAAAATAAAGGATTAATCAATGGTACTAAAGGGCAAAAAAACCTATTGACGTTTAGTCAAAAGGTTTGAATCTGTGTAGAAATAGAGGAGTTTGGCTGTCATCATATTCAAATAATAACTCTATTGCCGCACTTATAAATGTTATAAAATGCTTACTGCAACTAATAGAAGACTATAGATAACAATTTTGCAGAGATATTATAAATCACCAACTTATCATTATTGTCAACATGTTTTTTTTATGCATTTTCACATGTTTCAATAACATCTCTAGCACGCAGAAAACCAACTTTTGACGGTGGTCTCTACATACAGGACTAACTATTGGTATATAGGTAAACTAAAACTTAAATCATAAATGTAATACTTTTGTTAACTCCGTGAAAACGTCTTAGATTATTTCTCTCGCTCAAGGAATGTCTTGGGAATAAAAAAGAAGAAATCGTTAAAAGGATCTTTTGTTACCAATGTATATCTATATTGTGCATCACCGCTACCAATAGTTGTAGATATAATGTTTTTGGTTCTTCATCGGTTTTTTATATCATCATCTGATCACACACATGCATTCCTGAAATATCCAAGCAAGATTTGAACTTAAAGCTCAGTCTTTTTACAATAATCCTTTTGGATAAACAGCTTTTTCTTCAAGAAATGTGGGGATTACAACATTGTTTTTTTATCGCGTTTATGCCGAAACACACTTCTTTACTCTTTGAGCACCATACGACATTGTAGCACTGACGGAAGATTAGCTACTGTTATAAATTAAAGAAAGTAATATACATTTAGATAAGTCGAAATATCAACTTTCTCTGTTTACCAATAATTCTAGGTGTGGGAAAAGTTCGCTGTCGATTCTTAACAACTATTGTCAGCTTTAAGCAGTGTACCTGACCTAGGTTCTTGACAAACACACAATGGATATCTAGTAAATTATAAAAAGTATGTTTGGTTTTCATTTGGAGCAGCAGGATAAGAATCGAACTTGCTAGTGCTCATAGCATCTTGAATAGAAAGAACACATTTAATACCATTGTATTATATAGTCATTAACTTAGTAAAAGTGAGTAACAAATTTAAAATTAAATAATTTTAATTATTAAAATGCATAATTATGCAGTTTTAATATTTGTTTGACAGAATTCATTATATTTTGAAATTATTGTTACGAATGTCCCACGTTTATTGAATCCAACCTGTACACATGTACACGTGAACAATAAGGAAGCTTGTCCATGGCGTAAATACATAACATAATTTTAGGTTCGTGTAAGAGGTGTCGATGTGTTGGTATTGTTGTTTTATGGAACGTAAATATCATCCACTATTTAAACAGAGCAAAATGTCACATACAACAATGTATACACACGACCTACTGACTGTTATACAGCAGGGCAACGTGCACGTACACCAGGTGTTTGCCCTTCGCCAGATTCCAACCTGCCAAAAAGTTATATAAATATTAAAACGTGAATGAATTTGTGTTTCGAAGAGAAAATGAAAGGCATCTTTAGGCTGTGTTTTAAAGCATGGCTATTTTTACATAGGTTACCACAATTATGTCTTCCCATCGATTAAAGGGAGGCATTGTATTGTACTGGTTCTTCTGGATCTGATTCTGATTCTTGTCCGGGCCGTAAATTTCAAACCGTTAAACCTGCATCACCCATAGACACTGTCATTAGGTCATTGTGACCTTGGCTCTAAGGTCAAAAGTGAAGTATGTGCAAATATTTCAGGAACATCTTGTCCTGCTGTAAACTTTAAACTGTTAAAGATATCTTGATAAAACTTGCAGTATAAGTGTATCACCCACGGTCGATGCATAGTGCAGTGTCATTAGGTCACTGTGGCCTTTTTCTTCAAGGTCAAAGGTAAAAGAATCTGATTGTTTCGAACAATTAAAGGTGTACACCAAGGTGATGGTAACGGTCCCTAACTATGTCTTATTTTTCTTAAACTAAGTAATATAAGCAAGTACTTGATGGCATTGCCAGCTCTATCCAAGCATCATTTGCTTCTATGGGGTAAGTTTTTGGGATTTCTTTATGGCCCTCATTATAATTAAAAGTTGTTCAAGACAGTTCCTATAATAGTAAGGTCAAATAAGTGCAAAATAAGTTAAAGATATCCTGATAAAACTTGCAGTATATCTTCATTACCCACAGACGATGCATAGTGCACGGTCGTAAGGTCACTGTGACATTGACCTCGAGATCAGAGGTCAAATAAATGGAAAAGTTTTCAGGAATATCTTGTCCGGGCCGTTAATTTTTTTAAACCGTTAAAGGGAGACATACGTTTTTGTTCACATAACGTTCACAAGAACGTATAATGCAAATGACTTAACAATGAAAACTATCAATAAAAAATGAGAGAGTTGGCACAGTTGTACAAGCACAGTTACCATATTGTCACAGTCAAGCCAATTTGTACCTGGAAAATTTGCAATGATCTTTGACGATAGTACGTGTAGGGTTTTGTCAAACTATGTTACCTGAGCTTAATTATCCCAAATGTATAATCATTTGTTCAAAACCAAGAATTCACACGATATCTCAAATTCATTAAAAAAACAAAGTTTGAATACTTTCGTTTAAATAGTTAATATTTAATCGTCTTACATAATGACATATGTGCTGCTAATACGACAGAAAGGTAGGGTCAACGCCTTTAGAGATTTAACATAAGCGTCGGCCTCCGCTTGGAATTTCAAAACAAGATAAATACAAAAAGGTATGGGTAAAGGACGCTTAAATCAGGAACGGTTAGTTTCAGAATTCATTTTATGATAAATGGGACCTCATTGACTAACACCTGTGTGGGTGTTAAAGGTTCGGTAATTCAATTCCTCTTAGAGCATTTAAATGACAAAATTACTATAAAATTATATCATCATCGTGTGCAACATATTCCAACTGTTATTTTGATACCGAGTATTACGCTATTTCAAGAAAGACCTGTTCTTTTTATTGAAGATTTAAGCAGAAAAATATGTGAAATTTCATTACCTATGAGAAAATTTCCATTTTTGCCTCGCTAATTCACATAGTTTTAAAACGAGTTTATTTTTCATACTTGTTTAAAAGTTGGCTACCAATAATATCTTTCAATATCAGGAATTTCAAAAACATATTGACAACCGGTAAATTTGTCATATAAAACTTTTGATTCAAAAAAAGAAAACATAGCTTTCCTTCCACTTTTCCTTTAGCTTATGTTTCTTCATGACGAAAGGTCATTGGGTCTTGATATCTGGCCAGTAGGTTCACAAAAATCAAATGTGCTAAACGATTTTTTTTTGTATGGGGAGTCAGACAAGGATATCTTTTATTGCTTTACTTGTTTAGCGTTAACGATATAAAATAATATTTTTTCATATTTTGTTTAATGAAAGTGCAATGTGCAAAATAAAATAATAACTACAACTGTAAGCCAAATGCTAACTAAGGCAAAGCATTGCAAAGCAATCCATAGTCTCACACCAGTAATTATTTAAGCATATAGGTCACTGACCTTGCATACCAAATCTTGTTAGCCTAGATGAACCAGTTTTGCTGAAATCGTCTTATTAGTTAAGGAAGAGTTGTCAAGACAAAGACTTTTAACAAAAGGCCATAACTCCTAAAAAAGGGTCGAAATGAAAAAATACTACCCTGATGCACGACATCAGGAGGTAATTACCATATCTGTAAACTTTCATTGAAATCGGCCCCGTAGTTTATGAAGCAGACAAAGATTTTTTTACAATAAAGGGCCATAACTCCCTTTTAAAGGGTAGGAATGAAAACATGCTACTTGGATGCACAATGTCAGGGGGAGGTTACAATATCTGTAAACTTCCATTGAAATTGGCCCAATAGTTTTGGAGAAGTTGTCTGGACAAGTATTTTTCAACAAAGGGCCGTACAAAATGTTTAGAATGAAAAAATAAATACCTGGATGCGCAACTTCAGGTGGTAGTTATAATATGTGGAAACTTTCGTTGAAATTAGTCCATTACTTTGGAAGGAGTTGTCCGGACAAAATTTTTCTACGGACGGACAAGCTGATTCCAGTATACCCCCCTTACTTCGTTGTATGGATATAATAAAGTGTATAATAGTTTTGCTATTAAGATTATTTTATTGTTTTTAAATTATTGCATTTCATTTTCTATAACACAATCTAAACCTGAAGTGGAAAGATTACTTTGACAGAATGCATATTCATGAGTCATTACTGCTGCACATAACTTTAAACCATGTTACATAAAAATGATTCTGTCATAGAATATATATCTGGAAAGTTTTTAAAGAAGTTTGAAATATAGACTATCATTGTAACTATGCATAGGCAAATTGACAATGGTGGTTATATTTTAAATTTTGTGTACATTTTGCATGTTTTTCTAATTAAAAGTATCACTACGCTTACTTCATGTATACCAATATGACATATTTAGTATCAAAATAACAGTAATTTTATACACTATACAGTAACATAATTCATTTTCAAAATAACATTCGCTTGTGACATTTATTTGTCATTTTGTTAGGATACTCCCGTCACTCAGCCTGGTGTTATGCAAGGAGCTCCACTACGGTTATCAGTAGTTATTATGAATAATCATTAATGCAGTTATTGATCATTTTTATTTATCTACATATGGCAAGAGAATAAAAGAAATCAAAGTGGGGCCAAATGTTGACCCAACCTTTGAAAAGTTGGTGTATTGATAAAAACTATGGTGTGGTGCTGGAAATGAGTGAAAACAATTATGTTCAATAGTATTTTGTGGTTGATCTTTTTGCACAAACGTAATATTTGTCTTTCTGCATTTTCATGTGGAGGATATTCTTCTAAAATAATTTTGTATTTGTGTGAAAAAATATTTTCCAAATTGTGCTTTATGTCTTCCTTTAACTTTAAAAAAAAATCGAAATATACAATAAGAAATTAGAAGAACAGTTCGCCTGTCTTTAATAACAGACTAATCGCCTTTGTTACTGTAATTTGTGGCAGTATTCAGAGGGGAATGCAAATGTGTAATTGTGAATAAAGAACTGGCCCCCTTGATGACGACAAAACTAGAGAAAAACAAGATAACGTATTGATTTCTAGCTGAACCATGTTATTTATTGAACTTATCTTACAAGTGATTTTGATGTTACAAAAATGGCACAAGTACAAATTGCAATGCAAGTATATGTTATATTTACAAAATGGAAAAAATACATGCTGAACATCTTTCTTGAAGTTTGTGTCCTTTTGTCATAAACAGTCCATGACGACATGCAACACAGCCATATAGATTTTCATTCACGCATACCAAATGCACTGCGTATATATTTCCGTTGTGTATATTACAAAGGAAAGGAAATAATTAGTCATGGCTATATTTAATTTGGTGATATAGTTCATGAAATAGAATATATCAGGACTATATATGATGTATATGTATTTCAGTTGTTTGCTGCTTTCTTCGTAATAATCTTATCAACATCCAAATCAATTGAAACTCTTTGCTTCAGCAATGCACAACCATTTGCAGAAAAAATGTTAATAATATATACATTCACTATATATACAGATCGTACACATAACTAGTATGTAAAAAAATGAATATACATATGCATAAAAATATACTAAACACATTTAGGTATCGTAATAATTTAAAATGATTTTATTAATTACTGTTAAAATCATCCTTATGAGGCAAATGAATTGATGCTTAAATATTTGGATGCCTTGATCAAGGTTTAGTTTCCGTATGAGTTAATGGAGGGAATGATAATTTTCTATGCGTGTACTTTATGAAATAATCGAGCATTGGTAATTTTACTCAATAAAAAAAAGATGAAATCGATATGAAGGATTCTATGATAGAAAAATGTATTTTCGATATCTAGAATAACTTGCAAAAATAAAATAAAATATGACTCAACTTAGAATTGAAACATTTCCATTCCTTTATTCTGAATTAATTTAATTTAAAGCATATGAAAATTTTGTAAAAATGCAGAATTGATAAATTTTTAATCAATTTAAAATAAAAAGATGAAAATTTAATACTTCGAACTAGAGAAATTTGTGTATTTCATTGAGCCATTTTAAAAATCATCTCTATGAGGCATATTAAGTTTTAGAAATCTGAAATGGTGGAATCTTTAAGCTGTAGAAGAAAACAACAACAACATTTTGATAACGTCGATACATGTATCAACCTCGGAGTTCGGTCACTCGATATGTTTACTTTTACCTGTCAAAAAGCTATAACTGTACAACATTACCTAGATAAAAGTTGCATTGTTCACATATACCGATTTTAAAGCATTATCTTTCCAAATTAAAACGGTAAAAGTGGGATGTGGTAGAATGCTTCAATTATTTCACCCTCGAACATCTATTTGGTTGTAGTATTCGACAAACATTATTAAAGCATATATTATTGACTAAGGTCGTTTGCTACCATTAATTTGAAACCACGTTGACATTTGTTTCTCGAGTGGTACGTTAAGCTGCGTTTCTGTCAACTGCATGTGATTCATTAACATAATAGTCTGTTTATGACCTACATAAAAGACAAGCAGGGGTTAATAGCTCAACTGATGGGAGAAAGTTCATTTCTGTTACAAAACTTAACAGCGTTATGATAGGCAATATCACGGACTTTTTTGTGTCCACGTGTGAAGCGTTATATGAGTATCTGGTATGTGAAGCATTTAAACTGCATCCGATATGTGAAGCATTCATACTTTATCCACAAGTTGAGTGTAAATGAGTGTTCGACATACACATATATACATAGAGTCCCAGTTATCATATAAAGCGTTATGTCACCGACAACCACATGACGTCACCCGCATATTTTCTATCCGCTCGATGACATACAGATCGTTCCTTTTTTCTAAGTAGATTACACTGAGAGGCCCGTATGTGGCAGGGGTGCAGCAGGCTGAGGGCACGGAATCTGTCATTGTGTAGTTCGTCACGAAGTGGTACAAATTCTTCAGGTATGCATAATGCGTAGAATTCATTAAAGAACTACTAAATGGTCTATTGCAGTTCCCAACGCAAATGTTCGCTTCATACGTTGTTGGGTACCTGACACTGTTTAATCCAATCTCACTGAAGTCGAGGGTCCAAGGTTGAAGATGGCATGTCTCAGACTCAGTTGATGTATGTGCGTTGGTACTTTCACTCGATCTACGAGCACGTGTAGGATTGTTTGTTCTCAGGAAGGGCTCTGTATCAATATTTTCAAATACAGAAAGCATTGGTTCGAGGCGTTGGACTCTCCGATCATGTGACCGGAGGCGGAAGTCTGTTTGGTGCCGGAGTTGTACGTTCACCTCCATGTTTGGTTGATGACTGATCGTTTCAGTCTGTAATATTTCACTGACATCAATCTTGTAACCGGAGGTCGTGGAGCTACCATGTAACACTACTAAAATCAGAGAAGTTTGTATATATATTAAATCTGGTTTAAACGCTTTTTATTCACGTGTTAGCAATTATGAAATGCAATTGATTGGATTTTGTGTTTTAGATCTCAATCATGTTAAGTTTATTAAATATATGTACGCGTAGAATGCTTACACTTATTATATAATTATATAAGTTACCCATTTGTAATGCATAACAACAAGAAATGTATGTCAATAATGTAAAAAGGAACGGCAATAAGTAATAACCCATTTTCAGTTTGTAAGGTTAATGCCTTTGTTTCCATTCATCATAAATACATTATAATACTATTCGTAGAACGGGTAGGAGCAATGTTAGTGGTATTTACCTGATGTCGGGTCATGGTCGGGTATCGTTATCCCACTGATCTGTGTAGCCGAGTTGGGAGAAGTAAAAACAACCTCGGCATGGGTTATATTGACATTCGTAGGTATGGAGGACAGGTTGAAGTACAGACGTCTTCCAAAGTTACCTGTGGAATGGAAAATTGAAAAAATAAACAGATTGTTTGGTTAAATGTTTTCAAAAACAAACTCATAGTTCAAATGCGAAACGAAAATAAAACAATGGAAATGGACGAGCTGACGAAATTGTCACATGAAAGGTGCTTGAATTGGTTTGAAAAGAAAACAGATATTATTAAAAACCAACTCTTTGCTACATGTTTTATTTTCGTTGATGGTACACAGTTTCTATTACGCTATTCTAAAGACTTCAAATTGCAAAAACAAGAACTTGAACCCTGTTCTGAGAATTTAGAAATTTACCTTGATTTTACGCGAAATCAAAGTTGGTTACCTTACTTAGAAATCCCGAACATAGATTCCATTTTTTTGTTTTTGTTTATTTTTTTTGCTATGGAAATCAGCAGAAAAGTTTAACACGCAAAATCGACGATCTCATTATAAAAATAACGACCAGGTAAATGTTAGGTTTGTACAATTCCTTTTTAATTTTGCTGTAAATAGTTTTAGTACCTCAGAGTTATCTAAAATTCTGTAAAATACATAATTAGACCCCTTTCCCCAAAACATGGTAACCTAAATATTGTGTAACTGACAATATTGTTCTCAACTCGTGTTGTTACTCTGGTTTATAATAAATATATAAAATATCATGAACTTGTTTATAACAAATTTGTGTATAAAAATGCAATGTAAGAACCTTTTGCACTACACAAACATACTTATTGCTGAAAAAGAATTTGTACTGTAGACGTAATGTGGAACAGCCCTAGTAACCTAAATTCAGTCATATACATGTCCCATGCAACATGTCACATTCAAATTCAATTCACTGGCATTTAAGGTCATATTTACTTCATATACCTATATGGAATAAAATAAATGTAACATTCTGTTAATATCAAATAAACAAATCATTATCATATCATGTGGGTCAAGCTTCTTGTAGAGAGAAAATGGCATAACAACTTTATGTTTGAATCATCGATGTAATGCAAGTACCACAATTATCTAAATGAATGCCCTTTGTTCACTAATAAATGACTTGATTATATATATTTTTTTTTTTTATCAGAAATGATTAATCTACACCAAACAGGTTGCGGTCTAGTAGTATTTGTTGATGACACCATACTGTTCTGGAAATGTCAGAAGCCTTCATGACGGAAAACAATAGTTCCCCTTATGTACCTTGGTTTGGCAGGTTTGTTTGACATGTTTACCGTTTTTGTGATTCTTTCCTTATTTGTTTGTTTTGGTTTTTCACATGGTTCGGTCAGTTGTCTTTTCACCATGACGTTTATTATTGAAAAGTACCTCAAAACTTCGCATTTTTCGCTAGGTTGTAAAATAAAATATCTCATTATCAGACCAAAACTCTAATGTGCCATAGAATAGCTTAGCACCATGTATTCAGGTTGATTTTCATTGTTGAGATGCAATGGGTACCTGTAATGTTCTGTTTGAGCATTACCGTGTCATAAAATAGAAAGCCTGGTCAAGAAACAATTCCGAGAAAAAGAAACTATTTTTTTTTTCTTCTCTCAAATTTAGAGCATTAGATTTCAAAATAATGTAGATTTTTTAAAGTAATTTTCCAGGAGAGAAATCCCAATCTTCCCTCCCAAGCCGACGATTTTATTCATCGAAACATTTTTTTCTTTTTCTTTTGTCTTTTTTTTTTTTATCGTATTTATAACGCGAGAAGTGAATTCGGTTCGTGCTTTGTGATTCATCTTATTTTTTTCTGGCATATATATCTTTTTAAGGTAACATGTATTCATGATTATGCCGAAAAGTAATAATAATAACTCTCTTTCTTTCTTCTATTTTCTTCTTTCTTTTTATATGGCATATTGCCAGTGAGAACCTACTGTAGTATATTTTCGTTAATATATGCTCTAATTTAAAATACACTAAATTCCATATGTGACATCGTTCACTGAACCTCAAACGTAGACCGTTACCTATGTTTAACACGATTAAGTTTTGGATTATTTCAAACAACTATCTCTATATTTCTAGTCCTCAAAATATTTTTCCATATCTACATGTTTTAGTACTCAGATAATTCACAATTCAGCTTCGTTATTTGGCACTGACCTACTGTCAAGAGTTTGGGTCACGAGTTGTGGAGATTTACAAATAGTCATAACTTTTCAGGTAATGAGTTGGTCTCAAATCTGCATGCCGAAGAGATTCTTCATTTCGCCCTTACTCGGCAAACTGCGGCGAAAATATTTAACGGTTTTAAAATTGCGAGTTTTTGTCTCGTACACATGTCAAATACATGTGTCGTCCAATCTCATCACATGTGTTGGACATGTCGACACTTGTCGCATTGTAAAAAGCAGTTGTTAGGCATGCTACGAGTGTAGCTGAGAGTTTATGAAGACATGAATACGATCTCTGCTCAACATGCACCAAACAACGAATGATGCAACGAATTTGCACGACTTCCACGACTTCGTGTTCTGTTCGGCATTTCCTCGACATTGGTACGAGTTCTGGCGTGTTGCAGTGATTCATAAACGGGTGTACATATTTTGAATCAGCATCAGTTCTCTGTAGATTTCGACAGCACTTGGTCAATCATGCGTCTAAAATGGAAAGTGGCTGCGGTACATGACTACCAGAATGTATAGCCAAAAGTCGCCAAAGATCGCCATTAGTCGTACATTTCTCGTAGTTCACCCATTTCAACTCCATAACTCGTACAAATGCTGCAAGAACTCGACTTGACTCACACATACTTGTACATTCTCGTAAACAAGTCTTCGGTTGTTGAGCAAGTGTCGTATACAGATCGTACGGATAATGCCTAAACTTTTGTTTAAAAGAATATATTTATACTACTCTCATATCAGTAAACTCGTGAAAACGTCGGCAATTTATAACTCGTAAGCACTCGTGATTACTCGTAGCCCAAAATCGTGAAAATGAGACCGGACTTAATTTCAATCATCCATGATTTTCATTTTTTTCCCTCAAAATAATTAAAATTACCAGGAGCACATTCATGTTTAAAAAGTGGGACATAAAAGGTTCCAGCTTGATTTTAAAACGTTAGTTTAGGGCTAGTTCGACTTTAGGTACCGCAAATGTAATACTTCCAGGTAAAGTATATACATAGACGAAGATCACTTGATAATAAGATATGACAAATACTGATCTAGAACTACTAGGCAAGGAGAACAGCTGAACAAAAAATCAACAAGAAAATACAACATCAAAAACCCGAGGAACCAGCTAAACAAAGGAAAGACACCGTACCAGCAAGGGCAAATATCTTTAACGAAAGGAAACATACAAAGACAGGAACTGGAAACTAATTGCTCATTTAAACGTAACTTGCAAACTGGCTTACCCATGCATAGGAAACAAGAAAAAATAGAATTCTTAACTACAATATTTCTGACTCAAAAACTTTATATATAGTGAGTACGCTGGAAAAACACTTGAATGAATTGGTATTTGTAAAAATACTCTGACTCAAAAGATAATCTATAGGCCTAATTACACAAGCGTTTTTTGGAAAAGTAGTTATGTTCTTTCAGCGACGACAACTTAAAACCCCGAACAAAAAAATACATATTTACATTGCTCTTGTAACCCAAAACTGCAATTATCAAATCAATGTTGAATGGGAATTTTGACAGATTTTCCGACATCCCTCATTGGTAACATAAGTTGCTGAGATACTGGCTACAATATCAAATAATTATATATACATATATATCTATTTTTTGTATTTTTTTTTGTATTTAAACATTATTCATAATTAATTCACACAATTATTTTAATAATGCATTCTATACATTGGGTTAAAATTTTAGAATACCAGCTACCAGGATTTAAAGTGGTTAAAGATAACAAAAAGAATGTGACAAAATGGTTCAAATGAAAACTGTAAATTTTTGATGATTTTGAAATGTTAATTTTAATAAATAGTTTCCTTTTACATCTGTTATGTTATTTTATATTTATATTTTATCCTCACTCCCACTAGCTATTTATGTGGTCTCCAACTAATACTTTAGACAGATCGCAACGCAGCTAGTTTTGCTTCTTGTAATTGTGAATCATAAACCAACAAAGACATTGTTTCCAATTGTTTGTCATTTGTTTTATTAAAATGACGGAGTTGATATAACATATATACAACAATAAACGTGAATAGTGAATAATAACTCACAATTCACCAAAAGGTGGAGCATAAAAAACAGACACAAGTCCTGGTGCATCTAGACGTGTCAATTACGTATAAATACAATAATGTCCCGTTATGCCTCATTGCTTTCTACATTCTTGTGTATTTCTGTTTTAATTGCTATTTCCATTTGAAATACGTCACTATATAATATTTTTCCTACTTAACCATGTGTACAAAAATGTATTGTTATATGCTATGCAATACATGTTGTGGCCGGTGTATATTGAATATGTGAAATATTCTCTCTCGTAGCAAAGAAAAAGCCGGTAAAAATGTTATAAGATTTAATATTGAAAGGATGAATACAATACATATATATATCATCAATTTCATTTATTATTTTCTTTAAACATTACTTGTTTTTATTATCGTATTTTTTCATATACCTATTAAACAATAAAAATAACCAATAAGTGAATTGTTTTTTTGTTGTTGTCATGGCAACACTATAAGACAATAACACTCCCAATGCAGGTTTAATATACGAAAACCAACCCATTTATAATGTTGACACGTGACTTACCAAATTGTGGCCTCAAAAAATGGATAGCTTCCCGTGCGGGTTGATGTTGAAAACTTTCATCCGTCGTCCTTCTTGTAAGATCAGAATCTTGACGCCTCATGATTTCATACATATCCAGTTCATACTGTGTTAATTGACGATTGAGGTTAGAGCTTGCCGACTCGTCAGTTCCCAAACTCTGACGGATAAAATCCTGTTCGTTTGATTGATGTTCACTTGAGATTGGATTGCATCGTACACCATTATCAACAATTATGACAACCAAGTACACGTTCATAAACAATTCACGCAACGATGCCATGCTTCCTGTAAATGTACACACAACTGATTCATGATTCGGAAGTCGGTCGCCTTTTATGCATTGGCATGACGTGATTTGTGCCTTCTCATAAAGGTTACACGTAAAACAATGAAAAGGTCAAACGCTTCGTTGCGTAAACATCCACATGTGCGTCCCCCCCTCCCAATATGCTGTAGACCAACGGAAATAAGTACATACTATATTTCGATATTTTTATTGAAACAATTTGATTTTAATACCGTTTAAGATTTTGTTTTTGATAAATTATATTTTATATTTTTAATAGAGTCCACAAATATGACAAAACATGATATTAGATATAAACACCGGATGTGTTTTCCCCTGAAATGTGTTCATTGATATGATACAAACTACGATCACTTTCTAATACAGCGTATTATTTTAACAGAGTATTATGCCAAAATCTCCAAAAATTTATCCGCCAATGGTTAGAATATTCTTATTGTTCACGAATGAAATAAGTTGTATACCAAAATAATGTATTTTGGATAGCACTACGCAATGCAATTATTTTATGCTGCAAGCATGATAGCTAGAACTGTTTGGCTGTAAAGATAATGATTGAATGATGAGTAATAAAAAATGAATCACATAGGTTGATTTGGGATTTAATGAAACCAATTTTCAATGACGAAATTATAACTATTTAAAAAAAGATTATTTTGAACTAATATTTCTTCATTCGTATTATGTTTTCTGTTCAAATATCGAAAATGTTCTATTCTGATGCAATACTAAACACAGTTAAGTAAGCATTACAATTTTAAATAAAATATATTACTGATGATTGTTATCATATCGGTTTTCAGCGATGTTTATAATGCATGGTTACGTGGTTCACACTTTCAGATATAGTTACAATTGTGTCATACCATAACGTGCTTCTCAATCTACCATGTGAGCATCTATCAAAACAAAATTGATGTAAATAGTTCTTGTAAGAGTAGGGAGATCTCGTTGAAAATTTGGCGCTTTATGACATTTGAAAATTAAGGACTTTAAAAGACCAGAAAGACATCGACATCGAATGGATGAACAGGTCATTCAAATTATCTCTGACCGTTTAGTTTATTCATTCAGACTAGAAGGAGAAGGTCATATCTTCTTGTGAAGTTCAGAAAGCCTCGAGTCGTGATGTTTGGCTATTAGCTAACTTGGAAACAAAAACTACCCTTTTGGTCTACTTTCTATGTAAAATATGATACAAAGTTTAATGTAGTCTTAAAACCTAGAAGTTAATGTCTTTAATTTGACATTTCGCTGCGGAGTGTATAACTATGATTTATTGTGCATAACTATGATTTATTGTGTATAACTATAATTTATTGTGTATAACTATGATTTATTGTGTATAACTATGATTTATTGTGTATATCTATGATTTATAATGGTTACAAAATATTCACTGGAAACAAGATTGACAAGCAGGAAACTGTACATTATATTAACAGTATCTTCAAAACGGTTGATGCGTCAGTTTTTAATGGTATACAATAAAGGATTAATACATTGATTTTATTGCTTTTTAATCAGGTTGTGTGAGTACTGATTACCAAAATTATTGCAAATATTTTAATCATAATACCTAGCGTTGTGTATTTTGCTCATTCTGACCAATAGCTTACTGTTCTAAAATGCCAGAGTTTATTATTGGCTTTCAGAAAATTTCTCTTTACAACCATTTTTAGAATAAATCTAGAGTACAGTCAGATATTTTGAGGCCATACACTATTTTGCTGTCAGATACGTCCGAAACTTAATATTTTAAGGACTACATTTTAATTCATAATGTAAACAAAGACTTTTTACATGTAATTATTTATCTCATTTCGTGTGATGGTTTTGCCATTAAAGCTTAACATCATTGTATAATATATAGATATAAATGATTGTATGGACTATAAGCAAGAATTACTTTCATTGGGATTTGGCGTTCTCTAAGCTTGTTTATATCGGTGAAACAAACGGACAAGTGGATACACATTTTAATTGTGTCGAAACAGCTATCTTTCCTACACTCCAGCTCCATAAAGTTACGGAACTTACATATCACATGTTATCCCCTATCACAGAATCTGTTCTTATAATGAGGTTTTTTTCTGGATACTTGCGTCATGATAGATATAAACTTGAAAAGGTTTCTATCTATGATAGTTGAGTTTATATTATAATCAAGAAAGAACTTATTCAATATCTTAGACAATTGTGACACGTATGTTCTTAGCTTGTACAGGAGATGCTATGACGAGTGCCATAACATGATGTAGGTTACTCTTATCCCACTGGGAAACATGTTTACCTGTTTGTTGTAAGTGTTGTAATGCCTCTCCTGTTGCATTGCATTCATTATTTCTCTGATTTTGTTTAACAATTTTGAATTCATATTTTGCACTTGTGTGTTATGAACATAACTTCATGCCATTGCTAGAGAAATAGAGAGATACGGTGAACGTAAATTACTCGATAAAATCAACATGGCGCTCCATTGAATAATCACATAAGTCGTTATACATTGTTGCATTAGTTTGCCAGATGTCCTCAAATTGTACCAGGTGCATAAACAGGAATAGAAACATCCAATGTGTTAGTTCAAAGGTCGAACCCGTGGCATAGAAGGGAAGCTACCCATTGACAACACAATCACGTGTTTATACAAATATGTTGTTGTTTTATAGATTTTTTTGTCGTTTATTGTAATATTTTGACCTGTGAAGAAGTGTTGGGAACATGTTTGTTGACTAAACACATATGCTATATCAGATGGCCAGTTGTGTATTCACTTGTGACGGATGAAAGATACGCTCTGCCTAGCCATCTGTTACAGATATCACGAATACGTAGCGTGGGTAGACGTAGTATATAAAAATGTTCCTCGACGAAGGACGTCTGGTTACCGTAATTATCTCTATCCAGCTAGTTAATTTCTGAAAGTTATAAGAGACACCAAATTTACCGAGTTTTAACGAGAGTGTGATTACTTACATAACTAACCGTAATAAATAGAATAATTTTGCTTCCCAATTCCTTTGTCATTTTTACCGCGCAACAATTCAATTTATTTGATAGATATTTTATCTATATAAACAAATGCTGCTGGTGAGTTGAGTAAGACAGCTAGGTATTTAGTATTATCTTGTTTGCTTATTACTAAATTAGATGATTCACCTTACCATGAAAATAACACTTACGCAAAAGTAACCTTGTACAAAGTATTTCATCTAAAATGCCTACATACAAATAACCCTATATACAGCAATACATATAAAATAACCTTGTTTGCAGTATTTCATCTAAAATATCCTTGCTTACAATATCACAGATAATATAACAATGTATACAGCTTTGCCTATAAGATAATCTTATATACATTTTAACATTTGAATAACCCACTTTATACATTAATACTGTACATAAAAATAACCTTTCATGCAATCATGTACAGTAATTCATATAAAAAGCCATGTCTTATAAGGTGTCTTTGTTTCAAGTTTCAAATCTGCCTTTTCTGTCGAAGATCTTGGAGAAGGTTATGTCCCGGCGTTTAGAGGTTCATCTCCATGCAAACAGTCTCCATGACAACATGCAATCGGCCTACCGCATGGGACACTCTACTGAGACGGCCCTCCTACGTGGACAAAGTGATATAGCTTCTGCATTGGATAACAAGTGCAGAGCGGTGTTTGTCATGCTGGACTTGTCAGCTGCATTTGACGTCATCGACCATGCCATACTTTATAAACGTCGTCTGGAACACTCTTATGGAGTGACTGATACCGCACTATGCTGGATACAGTCATACCTGAGTGAACGACGACAGTGTGTTGCCATCGAATCTGCCACCTCACATGACAAGGTACTAGATTTCGGGGTTCCTCAAGGGTCGGTGTAAGGACCACGAAAATATTGTATGCAGTCCAAATCGATTGGGGAGATTTGTCGTCGCCATAGCCTTCGCTATCATTGCTATGCTGATGACACACAAATTTACATGGTCATAAAACCACAGGACAGTTGGAATACAGTCTCAGAAAGTCTGGAAGCTTGTCTGACAGATATCAGTATCATGATGAACGTCAACATGCTTAAACTTAATCAGGAAAAGACGGAACTAATCGTCTTTTCTCCAAAGTGTCAGCAAACAATGGCTCTCCAGCTCAAGGTTGGTGCCAGAACTATTGAGACTGTTCCAGCTGTTAAAAACCTAGGGGTATACTTTGACAGTTCTCTGAACATGGAGAAACAAGTGAACGCTATTGCCAAATCCTGTTACTACCAGATCAGGAACATCGGCTGTATTCGGCAGTTTCTAACTGCAGATGCATGCAAGATTTTGGTGCATTCACTTGTTACCTCTCGGTTGGATTATGGTAACGCCCTGCTCTGTGGTATATCTGACAAACTAACTAGTCGTCTGCAGAGGGTTCAGAACACTGCAGCACGGCTAGTTACTCGTACTCGAAAGAGAGAGCACATCACACCTGCGCTTTATTCGTTGCACTGGTTACCTGTACGATACAGGTCGCAGTACAAAATTCTGGTATACACATACAAGGCACTGAATGGAACAGCTCCTCAGTACCTACAGGAACTTGTTACCCTGTATCAGCCGTCAAGATCACTGCGGTCGGAGTCAGAATCTTTGTTGTGTGTCCCAAAATCTCGTACTGTGACCTACGGAAACAGATGCTTTGGGAGGGTTTCGGCTACGTTGTGGAATAGCTTACCATCTGCTATTAGGAAGTCAAATACCCTGGCCAAGTTCAAGAGGGACATAAAAACTCACCTCTTCACGTCTGCATTTTAGAATCTTTGCAAAGACGTCATGTAAATTCCACCCTTTTATTTGTGCAATTATGTGCACTTTGCTTGTTAATGTATGAAAGTGATTGCAAGCCTTTGTTGTTTGTTTTCACAATTATAACTATTACTATTATCCATATGTTGTAAAGCGCCTTAGAGTAATTTTACAAATTATATAGGGCGCTATATAAATGCTGTATATTATTTTTATTATTTGCATCCAGTATTACATGAAAATAACCATGGTGACAGTATAGTATCTGTAAACAATATTATATAACCATGTATACATTATTACATATGATTTATTTCTGTATACAGTGCTACATAATATACAAACCCGAAAACAGCATAAAAATGTAATATTTGTACATAGTATTACTCCTTTAACAAACAGGTGTATAGCCAATAAAACTAACCTTGTATCCCCATTAACCTAATATTCCCTGACTAATGAAAAACACAATTTAAAGATAACCGTGTATACGATGTCATATCAAATAACCATTTACGCAGTGTCACATATAAGATAGCAAAATATACAATAATACAAATAAGATAACCCTATATACACTATATATGGTATTCCTGTATGCAATACTGCTTCTACAACAATCCTGTTAACAAAATTATATCTTAAATAACCAATTGTACATAACAAAATGGATGGTATTCCTGTAGAGAGCAGTACCCACACATAAACTTGTGTGCAGTATAACGTCTAAAATAGCCCCGTATACTGCACTATTTAAAACAAATAACCTCGTACGGAATAGCCTTGTATACAGTATGACATCATAAATCGTATATGAACTTTTTTGAATAACCCTATATACAGTTATACATAGTTACGTTAAGTATTACATAGTCATTTAAATAGCCATCAGAATATCTGAAATAACCATACATTCAGAAATGTTTTCTTATGGGCGGCTAGAGGAGAGAGTGTAGCAGAATGATCTTGGTCGATCGGCTAGGTTGATCAGAACTTTGGTTTAAATACCTGCTAACATACCCATACACACTTATAGTTTAGATCCTTCGAACAGGAAAGGTGTAAGGTTTAGGTTTTACCCATGTATGCTAAATGACGACCTTGTTCAACCCTTTATGAATGGTGCATTGGCTCTTTTGTTGTACGGCAGTCTATTTAAATCACAATTGTAAAGGGTGTATAGAATTGAAATCACCATGTTGTTTGTAAGTTATATTTAGAAAGGTGTGTATGTCTTCAAACCTTAACCGTGTGTGGATATACTGTGTTATACTGAACACTCGGTAAAACTGTTTTTAATTTTAGGTAGACGTAGTACTCGTGCATTGGATTACGTCGCTCTCGCTATTGTTATTTGGTATTTGATAGGTAGAATATGTTATGTGGTATACATTGGGATATTTACCGAAGTTATGTGCACGGTCAGTGTATGATAACAGAATGACGACTTCATTCACACACACTTTACTGCTAATTGTTTTGTGGTTTATGCTAGTGGATGGCATGGGTAAGTATTTATGTCTCTTTATTGTATAAACATGACACAGACACACATACCCGGAAATGAAATGAATTTATTCAATGTTGTTCCTAGACATATATACGGCCCAAAATCATATACTACTTTGTTCTTACCACAACCAGAGATACATTTGAGTATCTTCAGTTTGAGTTTAAAATATTTATAAGTGAACTATGCACATTTGTTCCGCCATAGAAAGTCCTCTCTCGCGTGGTCAGTACTGGTACCACTAGTCTATGTCATTTACTATCCAGCCAGTGATTGAGGAGATATTAATCTTTTTGTATTCAAATTCATCCCGATATACCAATTGTTTCAAAGTTGGAAATATATATGATAGATTGATAAACTATACAGCTATGAAAGATGACCCCGTCTCTCGATCCAAGATACGTAGTTTACCAGTTACTAGGAATATTATTGAAATTGCTGCATAAAGGCAATATTTTCTATTACATATAACCAAAATAGTTATTTTTATAAAGAGACCAAAGAAGAACAATATCAGCGAAGCCTTAAATATTGTCACAATTAAAATATAGACACAGTATATAGTATTTTCAAATGGGAGATAACTCCAAGTAGAAATCGACAAAACTCACAATTCAAAATGTAAAAGTACTGTAGCAAAGAAAAGAGAAATTGAATAATATTATAATTTATCTTAAACTTTTTCATATAAAAGGATAAGCATCATTAGACAGTAGTACACGTATAGCACTATCATTAATGCAATAATTCCTTTTTTGTTCACATAAAAATAGTTATATGTCCTAACAAGAGGTAAACATTTTACAATAGTTATATTGACAACATTCTTTGTAGTTTATACATTTTTTTGTAATTGAAGCGTTCTTTTACAAAGAACCCATAATCCTCAATCATGGAAAATATATTCTTGTCTACTTTTTTTAATTTAAGTGAATGCATTTAACATTAACGATTATTGTTGAAGACATTTTCTGTTATCAACATTGCAGTAAACCTGAAATCGGGAATGGTGACGAGTTCAAGTCAAGCCCATGATCCCTACTTCTCGCCTAAGGCGGTGGACGGACTATACGGGTCAAACCCACTGACTCACTGTTTTGTGTCCGCCAATTCTCAGATATCCACTGCTTGGTGGATGGGCGACATCGGTCACGTGTCCAGGATCATCAACATCGATATTCAGTTCCGGGAAGGAAGTCAGTAAATATTTTATTTCATATAAATACTCTCGTCTCCCTTTGATTACCTGCTTCTTGTTGAAATAGAGTTTGAAATGATAAGAACGCAGATCGATTTGCATGGCCTATACCTCATGTATGTCTATACAATGTATTGTCAGGAAGGACGTTTGATTTATTCTTGACATTTTGTTGTCTTTGTAAATAATAATATAATAGAACTTTTTATTGTTTTCACCTATGAAAAGCAAAGGTGATGCCGTAGCTAGTATTTCCAAAGATAGTCTATTTGAAACGAGAGGCACTTATAGTAAACTAACAGCCTGTCGCAACGTGTGATAGGGAAATTAAAAGGACAGAGGGCACGTGGTTGACTAGTCCGAATTATTCTGATGTTTTATCGACTTTTTTTATATCGGTCTGTCGTCGATGAGACCGATATAAAAAAAGTCGATAAAACGTTAGAATAATTCGGACTAGTGGTTGACATACTGTATCTATTACAAAATGTATTCGGTGCAATCACGTGAATGTGTTTCGTTCATATTACAATAAATGTAAGCGTTTCAAAATCTGACCATCAATTTAGAAAAAGCTTTCTATTTCCATTTCGTGAAATATTTTAACTTGATGGACAACTTGAACTGTTGGCAGGTAGATCTACCAAAACTTTTTTTCATTATCATCAACTGTTTAATGTGATACGTTATTAATGATGTTTTGCTTAATTAAATGTCATTTTAGCTGGCAGACAAAAAGGCTACTTTTTATACGTTTCAAATTCGTCCTCGTGGACTAACGGAAAGTTGTGTTACCATGACAACAACCCCGACGTCGTTCCTGATGTCATACAGAACAAGACGTGTGAGCTAGATGGACGTTACGTTATGGTGGTCATTCACAGCGACTCTTACGCTTTCGTTGAGATATGTGAAATCGACGTTTATGGTATGTATTTACAAGTAGTCTATATGGTCATGCAAGATTCGTACTAGTATGAACTATTGCATGTCTGTGTGGAAAAATATTATGCATGCGTAACCAAGACTACATGTAGTTCAAAGATCTCCGTACCACTGCCAAATAATGTCACTTAGTGTTTGACTCGGAGTCTGGCATGACTAGAGCTTTACTTAATTAGTTCTGAGAGGAATTCAAAACCTGGACTTCAGGTTGATGCAATATCACGCTAACCGATTGAGCTACTTGGTCAACAAAAGTGCTGTGGTCCAACTATGCTACATATTATATCCAAACGGGAGTTACGGAGAGGTTGATGAATACAGAAAAAACACGGCGCAGTGGGACAAGAGTCATTAAAGACCTAACGTTTACGTTGTGATTTATCAGCGGGCTTTGTCTGATCTTCCTAAGATACGGCAGCGTGTATGAGTCAGAAAGAATCCTGAAATCAATTGCAACTTGTTTATCTGAAGAAAACAAATTGTTACATTTTAATATGATTTTGCTTTAACAATTCATCATAAATGCTGTAACAAACATGAACCGGGAAAGCAGCAAAACAAACAGGAAATGACATCATAAACCCACCGAAACGTTGACAACATAATCGAATGTTCTGTCATTCAATAACATATATTCATTAGTATGTATCAAAAAATAATCTTGTTCTCCATAGAGATTTTTCTTGGGTCTCAATGTACTAAAGATTTACAAGGTGTGGGTTGTTAATATAAATTCTTAAGATGTGGATTTACACAATATTTTACAGGGTGTGGTTTTAGACTATATTTTACAGAATGAAGATTTTGACTATATTTTACATGGTGTGGCTTTCGAATATATTTTACAGGGTGTGGATTGTGACTATATTTTACAGGGTGTGTATTGTGACTATATTTTACAGGGCGTGGATTGTGACTATATTTTACAAGGTGTGGATTGTGACTATATTTTACAGGGTGTGGATTGTGACTATATTTTACAGGGTGTAGATTGTGACTTTATTTTACAGGGCGTGGATTGTGACTATATTTTACAGGGTGTGGATTATGATTATATTTTTACATGGAGTGGAATGATTATATTTTTACAGGGTGTCGATCCAAATTTTACGGTGAGAAATGTGAATTCCCTTGTTACTGTAAACAAGGGTGTAATGTCACATCTGGGATTTGTGACACTCCGGAATGTCTGCCGGGATGGAAGGGTATGCGGTGTGATACAAGTGAGTAGATTTGGATTAGATATACATTTGTATAACCTTATACCTGTAAAGTATGTAAGACTAATCGCCCTTTATAGCAAACCTCTTAATGTAAAAATTAAACTATTACATTTATACACCTTTCACATATGTAGTTAATTTATTAACAGGGTCCCGATTAAAATATATTGTACTGTTATGTTAATGCGGAAATCAGTATTGTATTGCGTAATTATTTTTCTATATATTATAAACTCTTTATTTACATACAGTGTATAGATATATCATAAACAGGTGTATACATGGATGAAAAACCAGCAGCATGATCAGTTTTACTTTATCCGAATTTATAGAGAATAAAATAATCAAAATCTTCCATGTTTTCCAAATCATTCTTATCAATATTTTTTTTATAATCTTTGTTCGTGCAAGGATAAAATGTAAGTAAGGAATTTTTGAACTTGTCAATTACCCACTTACCTATTGCAGAATGTGGACCACACCTATTTGGCGCTAACTGTAGTCAGGTGTGTCAATGTCGAGAGTCGGGATGCCACCACATAACGGGATACTGCGACAAGCCGACCTGTCTTCCGGGTTACCGAGGTGACAGTTGTAATCGAGGTAAGTAGCGCAAATAGTCAGTTTCAAACTAAAGAAATTAAGCTTTGAAGGCCATTATTTGTGATACTGTCATGGAAGTATCAGGAAAAAAGGAAGAATAATTAAATCTTTTGTCGCAAGCTTTTCGAATAAAGGACTGTATTTAAATTATGCCAGGTTTTCTTACCCTGCCTTTATGATATGTGACTAAAACAAACCGGGATGTATTATTATGATACGTTTAGATATATATTTGTATACTTTTTTAGAGTGTGCACCTGGGACATTCGGGGGAAAGTGCAGCAATGAATGTCACTGTGAGACTTCCGGGTGTAGTCATGTGACAGGAATTTGTAAAACACCCGGATGTAGCAGAGGATGGCATGGTATCACATGTAGTGAAGGTAATGTTGTGACTTCATGGTAGTGTAGCTTGTTTTGTTTTCAGTTTTAACTGCTAGGCCCGAATTATTACAAAAATAGACCACTTGATCCGATATTGTAGATTTTGTTGTTGTCATCTGGACCTTTTGGTCCCAAAGTTGATAATTCCTTTGCATGATCCTCCTGACATAGTTTTTTTCTGGATATATAATTCGGTTGATTTGGAAAACTTCACATATTATTTACATTCGAGTTCACCCTAAAATAAAATAAATTGAATTTATTAAATGAAATTTAGTGTTCCAAAGTTTATCAGATTTGTTCAATGAATATTACATGTAAAATAGAAGCCAAACCCCCTAAATAAAATCACAATTGTCTAATGTTATGTGTTAAGTGAAGGTGGATATAAATGTCATTATCATTATCACAGCCTGTGGTCCAGGAACGTTCGGGGAGGACTGTAACCAAACGTGTCATTGTCTGGTAACGGGATGTAATCCTTTCATTGGTTCCTGCTACGAACCCGGATGTGAGCAGGGTTGGAGTGGAGACTCATGTGACATAAAATCAGAAAGTACGTTAAGTTCTTGACTTTTCCCTCGATAAAATGATAACTGCGTTTATTGTTCAGGTATCCTGTATATATTATCTGAAAATGACCACTTATTTTATTATGATGCTCAGGTCAAATATTTAAATCCCACATATATTAAAGGAGTATGCCTAGCAGGTCAGTCTGTTTTAATCCCACATATATTAAAGGAGTATGCCTAGCAGGTCAGATTGTGGTCCGTACCAGCTGTTTATAAGTGTTTTGAATTGCGTAAGTGTTGTTGCTGTTCGAAAGTGGTCTGGCAGATAATTCCATATTTTTGGTGCTTCAGATCGAAAAGAGTGTTTGCCAAATTTGGTTGTTCTTACTTGTGGTATGTCTGCTGTGTTGTGGTATCTAAAGGAGTATGGCTTTTGTGTGGTACTGATGAGGTCATGCAGGTATGTGGGTGTTTGTTTGTTTGTAATTTTGTATACTTCGATTGCAAAATTTCTGAGGCGTCTAATTTTGAGGGATGGTAATTTTGAGCGGGCCAATAAAACTTTGTATGTACATGTGTGGTCGTCGTATATGAATCTGAGTGCCCTTTCCTGTATTTTTTCCATTTTTTTTGTGTTTGTTTCGCCACAGAAATGCCATGTGAGGGGACAGAAGTTAAAGTTTGAGAGGATGAATGAGTGATATATAGTGAGTTTGCCTAGTCTGTTTAAGTGTCTGCCTATTCGTTTTAGTACGTTTAATTGTCTAGATGCTTTTTTACAAGTGTTTGAGATGTGTGTATGAAAGTTTAGTTGGAAATCTATGGTGACACCTAGCAATTTCACTTCTGGTTCGCAGTTAATCAAATTGTTCTGTCCTAAACTAAATGTGATATTTTCTTGTTGTGTTTTTTTGCCTATAGCCATTGCCTGGAATTTGTCTGGATTTGCCTGCATGTGGTTGTCTGCGAACCAGTGTATTAGTGCGTCGCTGTCTGTCTGTAGTGAAGATTTGACTATGTCTAGTGAGGAGTGTGCTTTGCTGAGTGTGTTGTCGTCGGCATAGTTGTACAGGCTGCTATGTTCTATGTGAAATGGTATATGTCGTTGATAAAAATGTTGAAAAGAATAGGGCCTAAAATTGATCCTTGGGTTACCCCATTGTTTAAATTTTGAAATGTGCTAGTGGTTTTGCCAAGTTTGACGCATTGTTTTCTATTACTTAAATAGTCCGAAAGTAAATTTGTTGCCGACTGATCTAAACCATGATTTTGGAGTTTGAGAAGAAGAAGGTTGTGGGGCAAACAGTCAAAGGCCTTTGAGAGATCCATCAGTATGCAGGCTACATACTGATTTTGGTCTAGTGCCATCTTCCAGTCCTCGATGACTCTCAGTAATGCCGTTGACACCCATATCCTGCTCTAAATGCAGAGAGATAAGGGTGAAAAACGTCATCAAAGAAGTCACTGAGTTGGGAATGTATGGATCTCTCAAAAATCTTGGAAAGTGCCGGGAGAATGCTGACGGGTCTGTAGTTGCCTTTGTCAAGTGTACTGTTTTTCTTGTGTATTGGTCTGACTTGTGCTGATTTTAGGTTGTCTGGAAAGGTGGAGGTGGATAGGGCGGTATTGACAAGTGTAGTGACTGGTTTAGTGATGGCGGGTTGTGCTAAACGTAATAATTTAGGCGATATGTTATCGTAGCCCGTTGCTTTCTTAGGGTTTATTTTGTTAAATTGTTTATGTATGAATTGTTCGTCTACTGGTTTAAATTTGAATTGACTCATTTGAGTGTTGTGTTTCTGGTTTTCTGTGATTTTTTGTAAACTAGGGTGGGTATTGTTTATGTCGATGCTGTTTGTACCTATTTCTTTTGCTACGTTAACAAAAAAGTTGTTAAAAATTTCTGCTACTTCTGTTTGCTCATTAACTATTTTCTCTTCATCTAGGACGATGTCAATTTGTTTTTGATTTCCTTTGTTGGTTATAAAAGGTTTAATTGTGTCCCAAAAGTTTTGCGTGTTTTGCCCCCCTGTACATTTGGACATGTACAGGGGGACAGTTAACGACGTTATGTTATTGTCACGGTAAAGGGAACACTCAAAGCTATTAACGGTATATCATTATTATACCAAGATTAACTAAATAAATATGAGAGAAAGCAACTTATAATGATTGCTTTTAATCAATAGTTAACGAGACATCATCTGATGAATGTGAGTTTGGAAAATTCGGAAAGACATGTTCCCAACACTGTTATTGTGATGTTGGGGACTGTGATCACGTGACAGGCACATGCTTGAAACCCGGATGTATGCCGGGATGGAGAGGGGCAGCATGTGATCAAAGTGAGTTCAACATGTTCAATGGTTTGTGAGTAATTTTCATCAGAAAGTACCCACTCTACTTGAGTACGCGCTGTATTGTAGCTGTGTACGGCAACGGTTGTTTTGTGCCGCTTCCTGTTTGTTACGTTAAAAGTATTTTTTCTGGAAATATGATTCGGGTGATTTGGAAAACTTCACATATTCTTTACAGCCTTGTTCATCTTAAAATAAAATAAATGTATTAAATAAAAAATTAAGTGTTCCAAAGCTCATCAGATTTGTTGAATGAATAGTACATGTAAAACAGAAGCCAAACCCCCTAAATAAAATCACAATTGCCTACTGTAATGTGTTAAGTGAAGGTGGATATAAATGTCATTATCATTATCACAGCCTGTGGTCCAGGAACGTTCGGGGAGGACTGTAACCAAACGTGTCATTGTCTGGTAACGGGATGTAATCCTTTCATTGGTTCCTGCTACGAACCCGGATGTGAACAGGGTTGGAGTGGAGACTCATGTGACGTAAAATCAGAAAGTACGTTAAGTTCTTGACTTTTTCCCCGATAAAATGATAACTGCGTTTATTGTTCAGACATCCTTTATACATTATCTGAAAATGACCACTTATTTTATTATGATGCTCAGGACAAATATTTAAATCCCACATATATTAAAGGCAGGTCAGTCTGTTTTAATCCCACATATATTAAAGGAGTATGCCAAGCAGGTCTGTCTGTTTTAACAAAAGTTGGTAACTTGTCGATATATATGTATGTACAAAAATGTATGATAAATAAGCAAGTAAGTGTTCACATAATTCTCCGTGTCATATGAACTTTCTAAAATGTTTTGCTTCCATACCGGCAGCAGACCAATGAAATAAATGCATGTTTATACAGATAAAACCTTTTGTCATGCTGGTAAATTTGGCGAAGCTTGCGTCCATGGGTGTCATTGTAAGATACAAGGTTGTTACCCGAAGTCAAAGTCAAAGTCAAACGTTTTATTTATAGTCGGTACATGGTATAACAATACAACATTAGCTCTAAGGAGCTATTAAAACCGACTAACATACAGGACATATACATTGCATAATAAAACAGTTACAAAGTCAATACTTTACTCATACATCACATTTCATTTTCAGCTAGGTTAGCACTATCATTTCTTAAAGGCACATGTACACAAGTAGCTGTTTAAAATAGCAGATATCAGTCTAAAAACATGGGGTGTAAAAGCATATTTAAAAACCTTGTGTTCTTGTATGAGAGTAATAAGTGATGCTATGTTGTTGTGTGGTATATTACGTAGATTGTTTGCATGTGACACATTTATATTGTGGTCCGTACCAGCTGTTTATAAGTGTTTTGAATTGCGAAAGTGTTGTTGCTGTTCGAAAGTGGTCTGGCAGAGAATTCCATATTTTTGGTGCTTCAGATCGAAAAGAGTGTTTGCCAAGTTTGGTTGTTCTTACTTGTGGAATGTCTGCTGTGTTGTGGTATCTAAAGGAGTATGGCTTTTGTGTGGTACTGATGAGGTCATGCAGGTATGTGGGTGTTTGTTTGTTTGTAATTTTGTATACTTCGATTGCAAAATTTCTGAGGCGTCTAATTTTGAGGGATGGTAATTTTGAGCGGGCCAATAAAACTTCGTATGTACATGTGTGGTCGTCGTATATGAATCTGAGTGCCCTTTCATGTATTTTTCCATTTTTTTTGTGTTTGTTTCGCCACAGAAATGCCATGTTAGGGGACAGAAGTTAAAGTTTGAGAGGATGAATGAGTGATATATTGTGAGTTTGCCTAGTCTGTTTAAGTGTCTGCCTATTCGTTTTAGTACGTTTAATTGTCTAGATGCTTTTTTACAAGTGTTTGAGATGTGTGTATGAAAGTTTAGTTGGAAATCTAAGGTGACACCTAGCAATTTCACTTCTGGTTCGTAGTTAATCAAATTGTTCTGTCCTAAACTAAATGTGATATTTTCTTGTTGTGTTTTTTTGCCTATAGCCATTGCCTGGAATTTGTCTGGATTTGCCTGCATGTGGTTGTCTGCCAACCAGTGTATTAGTGCGTCGCTGTCTGTCTGTAGTGAAGATTTGACTATGTCTAGTGAGGAATGTGCTTTGCTAAGTGTGTTGTCGTCGGCATAGTTGTACAGGCTGCTATGTTCTATGAAATGGTATATGTCGTTGATAAAAATATTGAAAAGAATAGGGCCTAAAATTGATCCTTGGGGTACCCCATTGTTTAAGTTTTGAAATGTGCTAGTGGTTTTGTCAAGTTTGACGCATTGTTTTCTATTACTTAAATAGTCCGAAAGTAAATTTGTTGCCGACTGATCTAAACCATAATTTTGGAGTTTGAGAAGAAGAAGGTTGTGGGGCAAACAGTCAAAGGCCTTTGAGAGATCCATCAGTATGCAGGCTACATACTGATTTTGGTCTAGTGCCATCTTCCAGTCCTCGATGACTCTCAGTAATGCCGTTTGACACCCATATCCTGCTCTAAATGCAGAGAGATAAGGGTGAAAAACGTCATCAAAGAAGTCACTGAGTTGGGAATGTATGGATCTCTCAAAAATCTTGGAAAGTGCCGGGAGAATGCTGACGGGTCTGTAGTTGCCTTTGTCAAGTGTACTGTTTTTCTTGTGTATTGGTCTGACTTGTGCTGATTTTAGGTTGTCTGGAAAGGTGGAGGTGGATAGGGCGGTATTGACAAGTGTAGTGACTGGTTTAGTGATGGCGGGTTGTGCTAAACGTAATAATTTAGGCGATATGTTATCGTAGCCCGTTGCTTTCTTAGGGTTTATTTTGTTAAATTGTTTATGTATGAATTGTTCGTCTACTGGTTTAAATTTGAATTGACTCATTTGAGTGTTGTGTTTCTGGTTTTCTGTGATTTTTTGTAAACTAGGGTGGGTATTGTTTATGTCGATGCTGTTTGTACCTATTTCTTTTGCTACGTTAACAAAAAAGTTGTTAAAAAATTCTGCTACTTCTGTTTGCTCATTAACTATTTTCTCTTCATCTAGGACGATGTCAATTTGTTTTTGATTTCCTTTGTTGGGTATAAAAGGTTTAATTGTGTCCCAAAAGTTTTGCGTGTTTTGCCCCCCTGTACATTTGGACATGTACAGGGGGACAGTTAACGACGTTATGTTATTGTCACGGTAAAGGGAACACTCAAAGCTATTAACGGTATATCATTATTATACCAAGATTAACTAAATAAATATGAGAGAAAGCAACTTATATTGATTGCTTTTAATCAATAGTTAACGAGACATCATCTGATGAATGTGAGTTTGGAAAATTCGGAAAGACATGTTCCCAACACTGTTATTGTGATGTTGGGGACTGTGATCACGTGACAGGCACATGCTTGAAACCCGGATGTATGCCGGGATGGAGAGGGGCAGCATGTGATCAAAGTGAGTTCAACATGTTCAATGGTTTGTAAGTAATTTTCATCAGAAAGTACCCACTCTTCTTGAGTACGCGGTGTATTGTAGCTGTGTACGGCAACGGTTGTTTTGTGCCGCTTCCTGTTTGTTACTTTAAAAGTATTTTTTTCTGGATATATGATTCGGGTGATTTGGAAACTTCACATATTCTTTACAGTCTTGTTCATCTTAAAATAAAATAAATGTATTAAATAGAAAATTAAGTGTTCCAAAGCTCATCAGATTTTTTGAATGAATAGTACAGAAGTCAAACCCCCTAAATAAAATCACAATTGCCTAATGTAATGTGTTAAGTTAAGGTGGATATAAATGTCATTATCATTATCACAGCCTGTGGTCCAGGAACGTTCGGGGAGGACTGTAACCAAACGTGTCATTGTCTGGTAACGGGATGTAATCCTTTCAATGGTTCCTGCTACGAACCCGGATGTGAACAGGGTTGGAGTGGAGACTCCTGTGACATAAAATCAGAAAGTACGTTAAGTTCTTGACTTTTCCCTCGATAAAATGATAACTGCGTTTATTGTTCAGGTATCCTGTATATATTATCTGAAAATGACCACTTATTTTTTTATGATGCGCAGGTCAGATATTTAAATCCCACATATATTAAAGGAGTATGCCTAGCAGGGCAGTCTGTTTTAATCCTACATATATTAAAGGAGAATGCCTAGCAGGTCAGTCTGTTTCAATCCCACATATATTAAAGGTGTATGCCAAGCAGGTCAGTCTGTTTCAATCCCACATATATTAAATGAGTATGCCTAGCAGGGCAGTCTGTTTTAATCCTACATATATTAAAGGAGTATGCCAAGAAGGTCTGTCTGTGTTAACAAAAGTTGGTAACTTGTCGATATATATGTATGTACAAAAATGTCTGATAAATAAGCAAGTAAGTGTTCACATAATTCTCCGTGTCATATGAACTTTCTAAAATGTTTTGCTTCCATACCTGCAGCAGACCAATGAAATAAATGCATGTTTATACAGATAAAACCTTTTGTCATGCTGGTAAATTTGGCGAAGCTTGTGTCCATGGGTGTCATTGTAAGATACAAGATTGTAACCCAGTTAACGTTATGTAATTTTCAAGGTAAAGGGAACACTCAAAGTTATTAACGGTATATCAACATGATTTCTTTCAATCAATAGTTAACGAGACATCATCTGATGAATGTGAGTTTGGAAAATTCGGAAAGACATGTTCTCAACACTGTTATTGTGATGTTGGGGACTGTGATCACGTGACAGGCACATGCTTGAAACCCGGATGTATGCCGGGATGGAGAGGGGCAGCATGTGATCAAAGTGAGTTCAACATGTTCAATGGTTTGTGAATAATTTTCATCCGAAAGTACCCACTTCACTTGAGTGCGCGGTGTCTTTTTGATTCTTTAAAAGTCCTACCGTATTTATTCCTCTCCAAATTATTGTTTGTCTACGAACTATTCTGACAAATGAGGAGTACATTACGACTATTGAACTTCCATTTAACTTTACACAGTTGTTCTAAACAATACAATTTATTTGTGTTGATGTGAAACCAAAATGCTGCATAGGGAAGACAAACAACGGAAATAAAGTTATGTTAGCCAATGTTTTCTTCCAAGATATATAAGAGTTTCTTGATATAAATTATCTGTAGTATACTTCAAATTTGAAATATATCATTTCGTTTCCTTCCGTTTTCGAACAAATTAAGGACAGTGACTGAAGGCTTCCCCAAGGTCGCTGGAAGCTGAACTGTTTTTTAAGAGAACATTTGTTCAGAAATATTGGGAGCTGAATAATTTGTAATGCAATGCTTGAAAAATTATGTAAAATAATGGTTCACAGAATAAATGACTGCAACAAGTATGGATATTTGACTTACCGATGCTCTCCGTAGATCAATACTAATCTCATACATTTTTTTGGGAAGCAGGATAAACGTTTGGACAAGTAATAAGTCTAAAGGCAGGCACTTTATATTATATCACATAGTTTAACTTAAAAAAATATATCCTTCATCCAATACCATTGTTTTCTTTGAACAAATCCATACTCACGGTAAACACGCACAATTTGGAAATATATTTATTATACAATATGTAATTCAATGTAAATCCAAACTATTTACATTTAGCATATCAGATTGAATTGTTTTTTTGCTTGAATGAAGATAAGCATATCATTATATGAAAATTAACTCGTTTTTTTTAAACAGTATGTGATACTGGAACGTTTGGTGAAAACTGTAACAACATGTGTCACTGTTTGTACCCCGGATGTGACCACGTTAACGGTACCTGTTACCGAAAGGAAGTACTTTGTCAGGGCGGTTGGACGGGCGAATCTTGTGATGGAGGTAAGTAACTAAATATTATATCACGGTCTTGTCTCTTTAATTTAACGAATGATTTTGTACTTTATACATATCAATTTATGTCTTCCTGTTTTATTCTCTTACAACTCTTACTTAACATATGCAGCAACCTTTATACTTACAATGTCGCTTGTATGAATCTACCCAGTTATAAAAATAAGTCAATGTTTCCTCTGCTTTAAAAGCTTGCCCAGCAGGTTCCTTCGGTACGCGGTGCAGCAAGAAATGTCACTGTAGATTCCCCGGATGTCATCACGTGACTGGAACATGTGACAAAATAGCGGCTGGTTGTCTTGACGGATGGAAAGGGGATGCTTGTGATAAAGGTAGCGAATCATTCAGATAGTGAAATTCGGTCGATTGTCATTTCAAATATATTGATTTTCTACAGAACACAAATCATTCTTTCCATGGCGTACCTTGAGGTGACAATAGTTATTTTAAATTGTGATGAATCTAAGCGTATGTGGTAGGAATGTTATAGATTTGTCACTGTTGCAAGGATTTTCTAAGGTTTATGTTCTAATTTTAACTGGGTTTCTACTTCGTACATTCTGAAGAAAATTAAAACAAAAACTTGGCATTTCAATCAGAAATAATATTATTTTTCATTGTTTTTCAAATGATTAAGCCATAACGTCTTATAAGTCCTATATCTTAAAAACATGTAATACCAACTATATTTTGATTTGAGTATTAAGTATATTCCATAGTACATTACCGTTATGAAGATTTAAAAGTAACCCAAATCACCTCTATCATTGAAGCTGAAGACGCAGTGCATGCTTGTCCAAATAGTCAGGATCTGCTCACAGCCATTCACGACTCTGTCCATGTGTGTCCAAATAATCAGGATCTGGACACTGCAATCCTACTTTGCGTTTTGTTTGGTATTTTGCTGTCAATGACAGGCAACGCCATTACGATGATGTTGATTGTCAGGTGAGACATCACTGTAAAATAGTCGTAACTTGAAAGGCTATGTGGACGAGACCATTAGTTAAATATATAGAAGTCTGTATTCTGGTAAGAAGTAAAAAGTCACAAATCCATATAGAACAGAGCATCAAGTAGGCGAACACCATCTGGAAACATTCATTTCGTTTTAATTAAAAGATTCAATATATTCAATTTAACGACGATATTTTCTAGGCTCGTATCCATGAAAACCATTCTCATACTTAGACTATTTTTTTTATTCTGGTGATAAATAAATAAAATATACATGCTGTCAATGACGTGAAAGATGTTTTGACAGTCTTCAACCCAAACACTTTCTTGAATATTTGTGCTTGATCTTTTTTACCTTGTCATATGAAGAAAGCGAGTTACAAGCAAGTTAATTTGAATCAGAATCAATGGTTTAGCACAAAAATATGTTCATGAATACGGGACATTGAGGAACTGTTTCAGATTAAACAAGTTTCTTTAATCAATATCTAGTTTATATATACCTAAATTGAAATCTGGACACAGTTTATAAAACTGTTTAAGCTTTTCACTAATACTTAAGGCATTATTTTGAAGGTAGTGCATATTAAGCTATAGGTGAAGTTTTGTAAAACTGGGATCGGGTTCTGACTGATTGTAAATATACTGAACCGAAAAAGATACGCGACTTACAAAATTGTTATGTATTTTGTATCAAACATACATATAGCTGTAAAACAATCGGGGTAATAATTGTGCACCCTGACTATAACCCTAACCAATGTCCAACATCAATCGGGTGTAACGAGAAACTGCATCCTGTGTTGTTTTAGTTTACAATCTCTATATATTTACGTTAAATTAATGCATTTCATTTAGGAATCTGAAAAGGATCACATAATACATGTATTGAACACATTATACTGACCGAATCTTGATGTTTTCGATGTAACATAACCGACTGAAATATTTCTTTTTTTTTACATAGGCGAAAATGTTGTCAGAAGAGGCAGGATTTGTACACACTAGACGGTATTAGTATACATTTGTTTACATTAAATCATACTGTTCAATCAATGTATTAATTAAATTTTACGTGTTTTCTTTGATAGAAAGAAAATCTGTCTGGTGTCAGATGTCGTATGCGTTATGTTAGACGTCGTATATGTCATTTATCTTTGTTTTCAAAGTTTTCGGCGTTAGTACAATTATATGTGGCATTTAACATAGAAAATAAATGATAAACACTTTAAAGTATTATTGTAATTTGTAATATTGTTTTTTTTGTTTCTTTAATTACAGGAGGAATTGTAAACAAAACATACGATGATTTGAACCTTCCAAATAACGAAGAAACCGCATGCTCTTCAACATAAGTCATCAATATGTTTCAATTGGAAACCTGTCTAGACAAAGCATGCTGGTGTGGACCAGCAATACAGAAAATAGTTGATATCTGGCATATCGTTCAACCAGGAAATGATTGTGGTTCAATAACGAATACAAACTATAATCAGATCAGCACTACAATGTTTTTTTTAATCAAATTGTTACATATTATAATCATATATCGAAGCCCCATTCGTTCTTATACTCAGATGAAAATAAAATTTATATACATTTATCAACTAGCTATCCCATTACCATTTTAATTAATCTCGACAAATTTAAAAAGGAAGGACATTTGTTTCAGCATATCATATCGTTTAATATATTTTCTGTTTTTTTTTTTTTATCTTTTTAAGACCTTTATCTGTATTTTAAGTTGGTTTTATCGTATAATCTGCCATACGTAGTCAACCAGATTTACTTTCCAGTAAGATTTAAAAAAGGTCAAAGCTGCTAACTGTCGAAACAAGTCAAATATAGGTCAGTTTTAGAACTACTTATAAACACGGAAACACAATAATTTGATAATATTCAGTCTACAAGGCAGCATCAGTTCCTTTAAAAAAAGAGTTCCAGGTGATGGGATCATTTTGTTGATATTTCTTTCCAGTTTTAAAACATTAAAACGGATGACCTTTTACTCGATTCTCGATATTGTCAATAATATGCTTCCGCGGCCATACCTTTTAAAGTTATTTGTTTATCGAATGATCAAAATAAAACATGGGAATTTTTATATTAATACCGCCACCTTAATGGACCTAAACTAAGCTGAAATATCTTATATATATATCATATCACTTATTTCTATATTGTTTTCTCCACTTGTTATATTTCTGGCAAAATCCCAGAACTTTCACGATTCTGATAAATCTAATCATGATTTTTTTTCTATTTTATAATATGATGTTGCTAACTGGTCGAAAATGTTGAATTTATTCTATTTGGAAGCCTATTTGTTTGTTGAATAAACATATGTTATAAAGCATATCGTATGTCGTATATTAGATTTTGTTAATTTGGTAACATTAGATGAGACAGCTCTGGCAAGGAGCTTGATGACTCCGCGAATCAGCATCATAAAATATCATCAATATTTATTTGATAGATAAAAAAAATCATTCAATAATAAAGTTTGAACCATAATCGCCATTTAAGTACAAGAGTTATCTCCCTTTATTCGATGTTCATTAGGCAGCAACAAACGCCTGCCTAAGGTTGTGGTAGTCATTTACCAACTTTATATGAATACGCCAGAGTTATGTCCCTTAGTATTACTTCATTTAAGTACCATTGCCTCCTAAATATGATCAAAATTTTAGACCACATATATATTATGAATTACGAAGGTTTTTTTTATTATTGAAGAGAATCACAAAGTGCTATCAAAACCATAATTCAAACTTAAAATCGAGGAAACAAAGGACAGTTTCTCGCATTAAGTCCAGGCCTTTTGCTTCATCGACGATACCCACTATGTAAATCTTCGATCGAATCCAAAAGTATTGCCAAGTCATGAAAATGTGAGCTGGGGTAGTCACATGTAAATCACAAGACGCATCACTAAGCTTTATCAAAATGTTGACATCAATGTTGCTCACGGTAATGGAATATTATAAAATGGTTTCATAATAGCGACGATGAAACTTACCAATAGTCTTCATTAACCAGCATATCCCTTTACCTTGCGTCGTATGTTTAATTCGTCAGTATATAACATAAAATGCAATATTTTGATCGAACATTTTAATTTCGAATCAATTTGTAGATGTAAAACTGAAGGTGGTCAAACAGGGATAATACCATCAGGAAAGGGAAAGTTCACAATCGGAAAACCAAAGTTGTCCAGCTCATCATTATGTTTAGTAGTAAGTTTCTTCCAATTGGCCATGTTGTGAGTAAACATAAAGATAAAGGGCCGATGAAAAAGAGACTTTAGTGTCCTTGATTTCAAAACTAGAAAGAGGTTGTAATCGATCGATCTTGTCAATGAATTTCGTTTTTTATTTTAAACAAAAGATCACCGTTATACATGTAAGTGAAAGTAAGCACATGACAAGGCCATTGCTACTTGTATTGGAAATCAATTCAAACTTCAGTCTCGTGCACAATTTTTTCCCATATGGGTATGCCTACAATCTTATGGAAAATCTTGCCATTTTCACATTTATACTCAGCAGATTTCATCATGGCCTTTTCAGGAGTGTTCCCTCGTTCTATCGTTTGCTCTTAAAGCATAACACTAGAGTGTAATTTCCTGCTATACAAAATATTACTTTGCTGTATGAACTTTATTAAACAGATAGTTTTCTGCCTTTTTTAGGGCAATTTATGTTCTAAATGGTAGCTTATAAATAACGATATTAATAAAATGCAAAATGCTGTTAGCTTGGTGTGACGTTTGTGAGCGGCTAAATATTCAAGACTGTTATTAACGACTAGATACGTGGTCACTTAATCATCATCAAACAATTTACAATTAATCAAAATTTGAATAACATCTTATCCTTTAATTGAAATTCAAAATGTGGCTACATCTGGTGGCCTTGTAAAACATTCTCTATCGCTTCAAAAAAGTAATGAAATTTGGAAAGACACTTTCATTCATTATCCAATTGAAGAAATGCTTAAAACAAAACAAATTCATCAGAAAAAGTAATAAGGAATGAACAAAAATAGATCAAAATGTAACATTAAATGTTACTTAAACTAACAAATGTAAAACAGAAACATACATTCCAGTTTATCGATTGTAATAAGATATATTTTGTTTTATTTGTTAAGCAGCGTCCTTAATCAGAGACTATTACTGTTAACGTCCCTGTAACATACAAGGCTACTACTACTACTACTACTACTACTACTACTACTACTAGTGCTGCAATACAAATACATGTCTTTGCATCTTAAAGATTATGTATTGAAAGCTTGCCAATAATAATATAAATATTAATTCAAGTTAAGTAATTTATAAATTGTTTAACAATACCACTAAATCAATGTTTGACATGTTTTTGAACATTTTGAACAACCTGGAAGCCTGCTGGCCTTGACATATGTAATGGGGTGCTGGTCAAAGAGAGCAGCAAATGATGCAGGATATTATATATAACATTACCTGTGGTAATCTCGTTAGGTGGCGTCCTATTTGTAGCTACAATGAGTGAAGTTAATGCTAATACTGATATTTAATTAAATGCTGGTCTGCCCTTTGCCAAACCAAAGCAGGAGGTAATGGCAAACTTTGGTCTGTTTATTTCCTGGTGTCGATTTGTTTTAATTACACAGAAGTTGTTAATTAGATTTGTAACAAAATTGCTTAATGTGTTGTTAGCTTAATGCAAATCGGACGAGGTGTTTTGGTTTGGTTCTATGCTCTTTAAATATGAATGTGTATGATTATAACTATTGAATTCAAACTCATTCATATAATAGAAATAATCCAGCTTTCAAAAAATACAAAAAATATTAAGCCTAAAAAGTATTTAATCGATCGTGTAACAGGGATTTGTATATTTTTACTCTGTTTGCTGTTAGACCACTATGCTGTGATACTTTCGAACTACCACAGATGATTATCATTGTGTTAGATAGCATAAAACACCTCACGGTACAACACATTATTATCACCAAAGAAAGGCGGGACAGAGGTGAATTGACCCCGAGAAGATAACACTATGTTACTGCTGACGTGTAACAATGTTATTGTATAGTTGTGCCGTGGACCTTGTAAACGTTATACCCCATAGTTAGACTACCTCCTAGTGTTAAACAGTTGATAGACCCTAAGATTTAAACTATCTTACACATCTTTGTCAACTCGAGGTGCGATAATCTATCATAACAATGGAAATTCGGAACGGTGCGCCATAATGTAAAAATAATTAACAAATTTATAATTAGAAATAATTCTCCCCTACCTGGGCGCACAATTTGTTTTGATTTTCCAATGGCTACACGTATATAATATTGATTATAAAAAAATGTGTGTTACGGACTGAATTAGAATTACGTAAATAAGAGGAAGAATAACCAATAGGTTGTAATAGCTCCACTCCTTGCTGTGACATAAACACATATTTTAAACCTATTGCAAACCTATTTTAAGATGTTGTGCAACATTAAAAAGAAACACATGAATATAAATACAATACTCTACTCTGTCTATATGGTTTATTCATCCCTCGATGTGATTGCATATATTATGTAATATTGAAGTTTTGTTTGCTCTGCATTCACTACAACCAAGCAATATACAATTATGAAAGGTGTTTGGCAGTCGACCTTTTTTTATGTCATTCTTATATTATACCCCTATTAATGAAGGGGTGGAGATAAGATGCTTCTGTCAGGCTGCCTGATCAGTTAAACTTTTTTAAAAGATGTCAAAATATATGGACATGTTACCTGAACACGTCTTAATCTGATCGTTAACCATGACGTAATGCTATTGTATTAAGAGTGACGGTACATTTACAATCCTGATGAAGAAATGTTATGTAAGATTAACCAATCATACACACATGTAATAGCACCTTTAAAATATAAAGATAGTTTCCTACACATCATCGAAAACAGATACGATCTCCGACTTTTACAGTTTACTTTATTCATGATTAGGTAACACAAATAACAATTTTCAGAATTTTCATAGCTATTGATTTATTGATTGATTTATCGATTTTTCTCTAAAATATGTCAGATTTATAGTCTCCATTAAATTATGACGCGAATAATAGCGCATGTTAGCTGTCTTTACGTGTGTAGGTAAAACAGGTTCATTTTCCCCTTGCAAATACAGAAATGCACATGTGCAATGCGGGAGAGACATTTTTGTCTCCATATCAAAGTTTCATTTGTTTTGTCTTTCGTTCGACACACACCTATTCTGTATGCTGACACCAAAGACTTCAGTGTCATAGCAGGTTTCAATTTTTGACAAAACATATCAAGCTTTGCTCTCCTGTTTTTACGAAACAGGGCTGGACTTTTTTGTCTCTTTAAAAACGTCAAAGCAATTTAAGTAACACACCAGAAAGATTTTTCTATATACTTTTATTTCTCAACGACAACATTTGAAAAGTAAAAACAAAATAAATAAACACTCGTTATGAACAGAGAAAAAACATTTCATTTCGGTACTTGATACAACAGAAATCTGAGTAATTAGTGTCTAAGTAAGGTACTCAACATAGCATGTACTCCGAGTAATCAAGTAGCTTAGTCAAGATATTATTCAAATAGTCACTTCCAGATCTTGGAAAATACAACAGTATCCAGAATCGTTTGAGTTTTGTTTCTGATGTCCTCCACGATTTCTCTGTTTTAGTGACTTGACTGATGAGTGCATGTCACCATCTCGCAAGTCTTCCATAGAACAGTACTTTGTATGATCGCTTACACTTGAGGTATTTTTAAGCTTCTCTGAGACTTTTTGGCTTCTGCAAGTACAAGGTGAACACATGTGTATCTCTGTGCACGGGTCGGAACTGTTGCATAAATCACAGTAATCTTCCCCAGCCAGGATATCTTCTATCGAATCCTGTAAAATCAGGAGCTGTTTGGTAAGTGACAGGTCGTAGTCCATCATTGCCGCCTGTAAACAAAATAATTGACCTTCATATATCTAGTAATTATTTTAATGCAATGGATGTAATAAAAATATTTACCGAAATTGTCATTACATCATGTAGTTGTGTTTATGGTGAAATTGCTTGACCGAAATTAGTTGTTGACAACCCTTCTTGTCATAAAACTAGATTATAAAGCGTGAGGCTGTGTCAGATTTTAGATACCTGAGCCTCAGATATTTAATCACGAAGATCACCTTTCTCTAAAATACGACGCAGCTTGTTTTCTTCATATTTGTGTACCTTCCGTGTCGCAATAACAAGGAAGAATCTGGGTCATATTGACTGATTTTGTCACTCACGAGTTACGTAGGTGGGACGGCAACATAACCATGTATGGTGTTGTAATACAAAACCGTTTTTTATGAATTGTGCATTGGGTAAAGGGCCTTTAAGACAGTGTTAGAAACATCTAGAAACAGCAACACACGTTCCGGTTGAAGACGTGTGTTGATAGCTCATGCAAATGCACATCATCTAATACATAATTTTCTGAATTTGCACCCAATTTCAAACTTTAAATATTTTTAAACCAGTGAATAGTTTATATATTTTTTATTCTATAGTATTTCAGTCTTCTGAAATATCTATGAATTATTTACAACAATTTTTTATTTACAATCCAATCCCAGTATTCTGCGCAATAAATTGACATTCATTTACAAATACGAATAAGAGAACAAGTGAAATGTGATAAATGTTTATTCCTAACTAATAGGAGAAAAAAATGTATCAATTAAAAATTAAAAACTCATTTTCATGTTTTCTTATAGTTTGTGTGATACTTAATGGAATAATCGCTTAAATTACGAAAGTGCCTAAATATCTACTTCTTCCATATATAATTGATATACTGGAGTTACAAGTCAATGTTCTGAGGTATGAAAACAATACTATGAAACAATTTAATGACGATAAGAAGAATAAGAACCGGAGAAAACACCATGTTCTATTTACTTGAAAACTAAAAATCTGACATAATAAACTCATATACTCATAACTAATTTGGCATAAATAAGATTAAACTACTAACCATTTCTTTACGAAGCGTATCCATGGCTGTGTCCAGGAACGTCTTTTTGATATTTTCAGGTCTGGATAGATTAATCCTCATAATATTCCTTAACCTCTCTCTGGTTGCGATTCTCTCGGTATAGAAATGTACAAATTGACTCATTAGTTCACTATCACCCTCAATTAACAAACTGTCCATAGAAACAGATCGGCAGATATTCTGTTCTACCATCTTTGTCTTCAGATGCAACTTACTTGACATAATAGCTTAAGGTGTTTGTGATAATTTTAGAGGAATGCTTCTTTTATAGCTATATGTGATACATGATTCATCTAGGATATTGAATTACGTGAAGGCCGAGGTTGTTTTGAAACAACCTGTTTACAAACTCCTTCTCGCAGTTTCACTTCGCTGATCATCTAGATCACCATTTAAACGTGTCATACTATCTCGTGATTCAAATCCGGTCAATCCGGTAGACTTTCTATACGATAGAGTGATGAATGTATGTAAAGTAGCGGGATTCCCGGAGGAAGTTTTGAAAGAGTGAAAGAGGAAGAGACCATAGCGATTTTCTGGTGCAATCTCCGAGTTGAATTTTCTTATTTATTATGATCATGTTTGTTAGAGTAGTCCTCGTTATGCCTGTGTAATACCATTTCGATATTTATTATTTTTGCGGAAGAACTACTTTCCAGATATTTGATAGCAATTTGTTTAACAGCTTTGCTCAGAAGATATGCCTTGATATATTATACAATGTAATGATATAATAAACATAAGGAGGAAGAGAGACAGTTTTACATGTTCTCACCTTCATTGAACACATTGTTTTCACAATTTCATAGGTAAAAAAATGAGATGCAGGCACATTTGATATATTACACACATAAGGGTGAAGTAATAATGAAGAATTTGTACAATATGGATAAACCTTTCGCATTTGGTGGCATTAATGTTCAAATTTGTTTAAAGCACCATTTTCAAAATGATCTTTATTTACAATCAGTAATGTGATTATCATTATCTTAATGATTTGTTAGTAAACGGTTAGTGTTAGTGAATACTAAAAACGGTCAATATAAAAAGGAGGCATATAAATATAAGAAATGAGCTTTTGCATTGATGAGTGATTCTGAACGTATTTTTAAAACGTATCTTAGCGCTATTGACACAGACTTATTGGACTAGTAATTACAAATTACATATTGTAATTACGAAAATAATACGTTTAAATGAATTTTAAGTACTAGAATGTAAACATTCAAAAGATTACAACAGGTCCGTAAGGACAAAAGTGTTAAAGACCTCCCAGACAGCAATTGTCTCTCATTTCAAAAACTTAAATGTTGACAATGTGCCCAGATCTGTCTAGTCATCGCGGTGTGCCGCAGAGTGGGATATGAGATATATCAGTCCAGGGAGGTGAGGTAAGTTGTGTAAAATTCTATGTAAACGCAATATAGAAAATGTTGCTTGTTGTCACCGAATTCCAACTCTGCAAGGGGTATTATTTGACAGGATTCTTTGTATTATTTTTGTATATCCTGCAAATGATTATTTCAGCTGTGGGTTTGATTATTATTAAATCAGCGAATCACCTTGTCTAAACATTAATTATAATATCAAAACAAAGTGACCTTTACAAAAAATAGTTTACCCTATACTTATGTACGTATATTGATTCATACTGCAACATAACCTTGACATAGTCGTGTTTTCTCCAATTCTACAACAAAGTTCACCAGTGAAGGTTGTACCGACGAAAGTGCGCCAATGGTAAACATAAAAATCCTAATATCTCTAACACGTAATTACTGAACCATTGCTAACTATCTCGAAAACTCCATTTGTCATGACCTCAACTACGTCGATATAAAGATATTATATTCTAAGTATATCATGTTCTAAGTATATTATGTTGTATGTATATAATGTAGTATATTATGTTATAGGTAAGCTGGAAATATATTATATACAAAAGAATTTTAGCACCGGTAGGGATGATTTCACTTATCAAACAATTTACATACAATTATAGCGAGGTCTTTTCTCTTTAGAAAGAGATGTCTGATGACACACAATGTTAAGGAACCTAACTTAACTGATCAGACCTAAGACTGGCCTACACCCCCTTTCTTAAACACTTTTCAAATTAGCAACATGTCATGGACATTAACAACCTTGTTATACGAATAGTTTTGCCTATTAATATAATCCATCTTTCTTTAGGTATTGATTGAATTAAAAAATGAAAGTTATAACAATGAGTCAATATTTAAAGCAATCGAGTTATAAGAAAAATGAAACATTTGTTTATATATTCATTATGTCATTGCAGAAATCCAGAATATTCCATTTTTACTGCATCAAATGACAATTTTGCCCATTAAAGATTCGTGAGTGGTAGTAAAGGTCAAACGAACGAAAAGCGATATATACTTGTTCCACAACATGTAAAAATACTACTTAGGGTGAAAAGTACCTTTTATAACGTTTCAGATTTTCACATTTTGGATACAACAGATACTTCCGAGCTATAGCTAGGGAATAGTATAAAATGTTAACGAAATGCGAAAAATCGAAATTTTTGTCCCCATTTGCTCTTTGATAGATCATTCCGGGTGGTTCTTGTACCACCCCGGACAGGCCCGGGAGCTGTCAAGGACGTCTCCCGTTCTAACATTATGTTCCCTACTTGAAGATAGTGGTCTCCACGGGAGTCTTTTTCTCACCTGTATGGTTTCAGCATAGCAAACTATGCCCACCTAGGATCCGTCATACGGGCCCCTGCTTGCAAAGTAATCAGTGTTGATAACCATTCTGATAGGTGCAATATAATAATAACCCAATCATTATTGGCGTGAAATATAACGACACATTCTTTGCAGATTATTGATAGTGCGGTTTTGATTATTTTGTACATTGTTTATGTATCACTAATTATCCCTAGTAAGCAAGTGAAGGTAAATTAAAGAGGAGTTCATTAGTTGTTTTTGTCAATTACTATCAACCAATTTTCACCGGAACAGTGCATGCATGCAAAATATATTCAGCAATATTTAATATCAATGTATGTCCACCAAGACCGAGAGTTCAGTATTTACTGTGACTTTACAAACCAATAATCATATGATAAAATGTCCTCTTTGCAAAAACGTACAACGGGTATTAGTTCCTATACCTAGAAAATTACTAGTGCATGTAATTACTTGTTCTTAATGATGTACGATGAATATGTTTGCAAAATACTGTAAACTCTAGTATGAGCAGATATAAATGTATATATTTGAATTGGTACATATCATAAGTTGAAAAGGTGTAAAAGTCAAAAGATAACTCATCTCATTCAGAAATGAAAAAATCAATATAATTTTAATAAATCCTCAATGATTATTTAGAATATTTTATGCGTATTACTTTCGGTGCATGCATTGATTCAAAACAACGTTTTGTTACTTGCTTGTGTTTTATTTTATTAATTAAAGAAAGAAAACAAAAACACTATCCTAGGACTTGAATTGGAATTATTTGGTCGCGTTGAAGAATACCATAACAAATTAAGGTCACCCATGTTATATGATCTATGTCAATCATATATTATCTATAGAACTAAACCTTTGGTCATTTACATTTCATAATGTAGGTAATCACGGCCCTCGCGGAGTCTATGAGGTGTCAGAAACATGTAACGCTTTGCTTGATAATAATCATTATGCTGATTAGTGAGATAATTTGACCCCACATAAGTCCTTGTCTTACCTTTGTAGTACCGACATTACCTGTCATTTCCTACCTGGTGTTCTGACACAGAAATATATCTATCTACAACATCAATGTATATTTATCATAACACCTGTTGGTTATTCCTTGTCTTTACTCAATCAAACAGGTTAAAAAACTGGAATTGACGTCCTGAATCATATTTAAAAGCACACATGGGGCCATTTCACGAAAAGTTTCATTCTTTTTGATTTTGTGATGAAATGTAAAATCAAATTCACGTTTCATCTTACGTTTTCTTGTGGAAGGTCGATAAACAAAACTCTATTTAAGAGCTTTTTGTTTGTATTAAAAAAAAATCAGCTTAATAGAAAATAGCGTTATAGAAGCATCTGAATTTATTTTCATATATTTATATTAGAATTATAGAAAATGGCATGGTTTAACTTCTTTCTTAAGTGACATAACATATTCAAAACGAACAGAAATATTGTTTGTTAACAAAATTATATTTTCCAAGCTCGCGTATTTGCATCTATATAGCAAACCATTTTTTCATTTCCATAATAAAAAATCCGGCAGAATTATTAATAAAGGGGGCTTTTCTGTATCAGGATTAAACAAGTATCCTCTGCAAAGGATATGTATATAGATATAAATATACATGTAAAACAAAGCTTGAAAAAAAAGAGAACGGAACTATATGCAAGACGCAAGCATTCAACCTCAATGCATTAATATTCTTATAGTTCAATGAAAATTCCAAATATTCGTTCCAAACTGCCCCCCTGCAATTCCACGTTACTTTCTAGGTCACTCTCCATTACTAATTGCTCCAAGGAGGTCCTGTTGTAATGAGTGGTATTGTCTAACATGACTATATTGTGACAGTAGGAATCGTTAACCCGTTGTTGGGTTCCCCTACTGCGATAAGTATCCCGTCTTTTGTTATATTGTCAATGCATGTCAGGATAAGACAACCAGCAGACTAATTAATTATATACGTGGGGTCTTAACACTATATATAAATGAAACAACGTTATCAAAATAACAGTATTTGCACAGACATATTTCTAGTGAGTTGACAGAAAAAAGACACAGCCTCAAAATGGTAAAGACTGACAATGTTGAAGAAGTTGGAGTTAATATATGCGGGGTAGATAGATATCTCGATGGAATAGACATCAACAACAGCTGCCGACGGGTGTATCTGAGGAGGATGGAATCTATTGAGGAATGTAAAAGGTCATCATCGACAGATGACGCAGAAAAACAGTCAACATCTATTGGAGCAGCCCTGGCACGACTTAGAACGGAGATGGTAAGAATTAACATCACAATAAACAAAATTGCGATTGATGTTGTTTTGTAATGTTGTTGACAGTAACCGAGGAAACAAGTGACGTAATTGATAAAAACATTTTTTTTTAAATCATAAAAGTACTAATGCAAAAGTTAAATACCAGATACATATACCAATGATTCAATACCAAAATATTGTTAAAAAACCTTTTTAATATACAGAACTATCAATATAACCTTGATTAACAACAGTGTCATTCCTTTATCTTTGAAGGTTGGACTAATGGATCAGGACGCCGGACTGATGCGACAGATGCTGATCCTTAACGAGAAAGTGGAGGAACTAAAGGCAAACAACATCTGTCAGATGAGCAAGGAATCCTTGGATAGTTATGACAGTTTATATCTGATGGAAGGACAGACAGCCAATCATCTTCTGGAGAGCAAAGATAGTCTCTACCACACGGACGAACAGTCGGACGACTTATCATCTGATGAAGAAACATTTCAATGTTCTGATTCTGCTTACTCTGATTCAGACGAAGATAAATGTAATATTATCTCCCAATCACGTGATTGCCTGACTTCTCGAAAGGAGTCTGAGTCGTTGGATTCTGTTTTCGACAGTTTGCTTGAGTTTGACACTATGTGACACAGTGATCTGACATGGAATCTAACAGAAACCGTTTTACACTGAAAATGGTATCACTTGTTCCCTGATGTCTCCATACAGAGCCCAAACAATGACGTCTATATGAAGACTTTCGGAACAGCGCAAAAACAGAAGATGGTCTTAATGATTATTATTAAAAGGTAATTTATACATTCAAACTTAAATATATGCACAGTTGAATAAAACATATTTCAAATATAATTTTGAGAACATGTAAATTACACCTATTCCTTAGAATTACATCTATTCTTTATTAACTAAATACTATTTTATATACTCCCTGTATATTGTATTATATAGTATTTTAATAAGTGTTACACTATTTGTATATTTTCAGAAACAGATCAACAACTCGAATTGCAAACAGGCTCGTCGTGGATTGACACACACCATGTGATAGCGCAATTGAAAGCCTCTAACAGTGACTGAAAGTATGCATTAGAGGGTTCATTCTTACTGAACCAATGCATTTGTCATCGTGTGTTAAATGACAGGAGTGAACAATAACGGACGAACTCAAAACGATGATGATAATTAAACTGTGGTCTACAATGCAATTTTGCATTAATTATGAACAGTTGCTAAGAGGGATACTCTATCGTTATCCATTAAAAGAAATCCATTGCGTTCGTTGTTTTGAAAACAATTGTTCCATACTATTGTATCATCTGATCAAATAAAATACTACACACAACATTCTACGTCGTATTTTGGTTTGTATCAACAAATCATATTGGACTGGAAACCATTTGAATTACATTTTTAAACTAGATGCAACGGAATAAGCATTAGTGTAGGTAGTTAGAAAATATACATAAACTCGCTTATTGTATAAACATAATAAACTGAACAATCATTATTTTTCCACATTGTATAGTTTATTTTGAATTCGTTCTAATTATCTGCCGATTTCCAATATGCTCAAAAAATTTCTTGACTCAACGAAGGTAATTGTGTATGCAGAGAGAAATTCAAATATATAAACGTTTTTTTTTTCAAAATACAATTTTTGGGGAGATCTTGAATCTTGTTTGTAGCGTATGATCTTAAGAACTGATATAATTAACGTTCAGAAATTCCGGCCGTTTTAGCATCCTACAACATATAAGCTGCGTTTGAAAAGTATACTTAAATTTAAAATTAATACAAAGATTTTTTTTTTAACCGGATGAAATATTTGCTGACTGATGTGATACACCTTCGAACCCATCTCTATATATAAAGTTTTAAGTTTAATTTGATTGAATTTTCGAATTTTGATCTAAACAAAAAATATTATTTGCTGACCAATATTTGACGGTATAAGGAACTCCACATTTAATCAGTGGTACATGTACAAGAGAGGGTAACATAAAGAGTCCCTGTAATAACAATTACATTTTTTTGGTGGAAATATATCGACCGCAAAAAAGCGAAATATAGAAGCACGAGAAAGAGAAGCTTAAAAATATTCGTTTATTTAAATCAATTATTATGATTGCATTTTTTCTGACTATTGCATTGCTATAATGGAAATTTAATAATCCGTTATATATGTAAAACAGTTGACTAACACCGACTTTTTGTTTCCGAGTTTCTATGATATTGAAACTGGATTGACATTGTCAAGGAAAGAAACAATATATATGTACAGGTTGGAAGTTGCAGGAACCTAAACTGGTCAACATGTAGCTAGAATATATATTGTACGCAACAATATCAATTGTTGCATAATTCGTCGTTAAGATATATCTAAAAATCTCTCCTATATATCTAATGCCGTCACTTTTGGCATTAACTCTTTTTATTCAATTTATTGTCTTTTGATTTCGAATGATACAGATGAATGAATGAATTAATCAATCAATCTGTCGCCACTGCACTGATTATAAAAACGGTGGTTGCATTTGAAATGACAAACAACGATCCGAAGTCGCAGTTCTACAGCAAAATAAAACTACAATGATATTCAACTATAGATACAATAGATGTTCAATGATGCACTAATTTTGTCATCAAATCAGTTTCATTTCAATAATATTTGCATTAAAGGAGTAAAAGCGAATAGTCATTAAGATATTGATGTTAACACGAAAATTGAAGGATAATAAAGCGTTATTTTGATAAAACTGTAAAACCAATGCATGCACAAACGATGCGTCATAATAGAAGTTTAAATATTCAGTGGCATACAAAATTAGTGGTGTTACCGGTAGTATGTAAGATCGCATTGTTTTCCGGATTGATTCGATTATTTTTCAATCGTTACTGATGTGTTTAGCTGCAATGTTATATTGACTAAGGAAACTCATCATTGCTGCTATAGATAATTATTGCCATTGTCAGTTAGAATGAGCGATATTACATAAATTGTTTGTCGCGTCATGACTAATTGGAATGAATAAAACTATTATAAAACGTATATGTTTAATACTTATTACTGCTTTATCCTTCTTTCAACATTGCCGTTGATTTGATTTCATTACATGATATGCAAGATTCAAGTGGTAAACGTCAAAATTCTTGAGTAATTTATTTTGGATTTTTTTTTGTTCAACCGAATGGTATTATTTTTAAGATTCATTTTATCTTGCATTATTTTCTTCTTTTTGTAAAATGCAATGACGAAAATAACCATTTCGAACCATATCCAATATACGTATAAATTGTCTTCTATAACCCCAACCTCCGCTCCGTTGGTGAACCCCTTCGATGTACATGCGGGGTCCCAAAGTATGTCTTTTTCATGAACGGTTTTTTGACCATAGTTGTTAAATATTCTCCATTGCTGGCGTTGCTTTAACTCAGGGGTAATCGGCATGGCATTATAAATAGCTCACGTGGTGTCGATTAAAGGTAATCATGTAAAAGACATTCTACCAGTAAAAATATATGTCGTTCTTAATGAACCAGACCTCCACACTACTGTTTTTAACACCAAGCCATTTGACGAGCTGTCAATATTGTTTACGGTCATTAGCATTCTATGTCGACCTCATCGATGGTTTTGTCTCCTACTTGGGTCGGCATCGACATTGATAATATCCAACAGATATTAATTCCAGCAGGGACAGGACTAACAATTTTACATAATTATGATGTCGACAAGCCGGATACCTCCTGGATGATGATCAATCCAATAAGCAGTGAGCTCCGAATGTGCAAAGGTTATCATTTTTTTATTGAGCATAAATTAGAGCATATATCATTAGACTTCATGTAATTATAATAATATATAACCATTAAATAGATCTTGCAACAGTGCCACAAAACATGTGGTTCTTTCTCCTTAACTTATTATCAATGTATATATATATTTTTAAATACGTGTTACAAATCATAACTATTCCATTCCTTCGAAATAGAAGATACTACGGTTCAATCTATAGCTTAGCTTTATATTCTAACAACGGATGTAAAATGAAAGTTGGCCCAATTAATGATGGCAATAGTTTGCTCTTGATATATATCTCTAGTGTTATGTCGATTCTTTCTAGTATTTAAATCGTTCTGAACCGTCCTTTTATGCCGCTTTTAAAAAAAGAGTGAGGAATATAACTGCCAGAATAACAGAGAATAGTTTGCCGCGAATCCATTGTAATATATTGTCAGAAAACTGTCGTTTAGTTAGACAACGTTCGCTTGACATGCCATTTGATTGGTTAAATTATAGCATACGATTGTTAACACACGTATTATCTACACGCTTAAAACCACAAGGAAAATACTAAAAAACATTTTTCAATATACTTGTGTCACACAAAGAGGTTCAATTTTCTGGTGCAGCTTTTAATTCATCAGGATGGGAATTTAAAAAGCATTAAAATGAATGTATCTCATTTTGCTATTTTTAATTCCTACAAAAAGAATAAAAGCATGAAAAATATGGAGCTAGTTCGAATAAAAGAAAATGTACCAATCTTTAAAGGGGCATCACGCTGAAGTAACTTTTTTTTTTGTCTTTTTTCCAAATACTACATAAACATATCAAGTGAGGCTCCTTATGGAAAATGCCGATCGGATTTGGCTGAAATAGATTCATAAAAATGATTAAATCTAAGATAATCATCGGTATTTCTACCTGTCTGACCAACGTTTTGTTCAGGGATTTCCCTCTACTAGCGCATGCGCATAGCACACCATTTCTTTGTAAACAAAATGACTGGCCGTGTGAAGTAAGCCAAAGAAAAGTGTTGTACCGTGTCAGCTACGAAGCGAATAGTTGCCAAATGGTCAAAAGATAGCGCAAGGGGTACGTTACGGAATCATTATTGCCAGTGGGAAGTATTCAAAGCAGAAAATAACTGCCCTAGCAGTCAGTACGGTGCATGTTTTCTTCCGGATAGCGGCCGGTTAAGCTGAAATAAAATCGACAGAAATGCTAGCGCTGTTTATGTTATGAATAAATATCTAAAACTATTAACCTCGCTAGTATCATTGTGTGAGTTTGAACACAGATGAACTTAGTTTAATATGTTAATGGGCATGTATCGGAGAGAGTTTACTTTGTGTTTTTTATAATTATACAGTGGTTTATGCAAACGAAAGGGATAAGTGACTGGTTAGTTTGATTTTGCCATGAGGCCCCCCAAGGGATAACTGCTGTGATGGCCACGGCGTATTCTGTTCTCTGATCCTCTGTCGGTGCTCGGGGTCAAATGAGATACGTGCGCTATTAGATTTACATAATTTATAATATTACCGGGATCAGTAAAATGGTATGATTTAATTATATTGCTGAATTAAACGATTGTTTTTTGTTTTGACATGCAAGTTTTAAATTAGTACTAATATAATACCCGGCCTGCCCTGGCGCGACGACGCAATATATAAAAAAAAAATCGCTCTTCGTCAGAAAGCTACGTTATCGCAGCTAGATTAAAAATGTCAAAATGACGGACCAGGATGAATAACTGAGGAAGGAGAACCTACTTCTAGTAAATAGGATCGCATAACACTTTTTTTTTAAATCGTAATTTTTCAACAGTTCATGTTTTCATATGATGTTGACTTAGAATGTATGATCATGTAACAACCTTTTCTCTATAAAGAATAAATTTTCGACTTCAGATAGAATCGGAATACGTATTGAAAACAGGGGAAAAAATATTTGATTACGTTATAAAAATGGCGCGTGCTGCCGATAACTACGGCTTCTGTTTCGGACCAAAGGAACTGATTAAAGAAAAGTTGTCTCAGCATAAAAAGGTCCATTTAAAAGTATGCTTTAATCTCTGTAAAGTATTGAAAAAATATAATTATCAAGTATCTCAACACGTTCCTTATTGACACATATTCTACATGTACACGTAGTGGTTTTGCCATACAGTTTATTGTGTGTGATGGTTAATATGACTTCCTAAATGTTAGCGTTTGGAGACAGTGAAAGTGGGAAAGAGAGTATACATAGATTTATATTCATGGTCTAGAAAAAAAATGGCCAAAGACATTGAGTTGTTTAATGTAATAAATAAATTCACAAACGTTTCCTTTTTATATTCGCGTGTAGTTTGTCATTGCATATATGCACTTTATGTAAACATTTGAAAAGGGATATTCGTCTCGTGAATATTCCTTTTTACAGAAAGGTTTGTCCCATTGTTGAGGGAGTGTTTAGCCCCGTACCACCTGTACCGGTCACGGGAGAAGGCTGTGATAAATTGTAAAAACTTGTGCCCCATCCTTTGTTTAATTTTATTGGCAACAGA